GCAAATATTTATTATTTTTAAATAAAGATGTGTATAAAAAAACCCGCAAGTAAGCCCACCCAATAAGCTCATGAGTTGGACTGCGGGTAACCTACCCCTACCCGAAGCCCAGTCCGGCCTGTTTAATAACTCACTTGGGTAAGGGTTTGGGCCTAGATTATGCAGGCCCGAACCAAAACAAATTCGCGGGCCTAACCCAACCTGGCCCATGAACACCCCTAGGTACTGTGATGGGTCTCACAAACAACCGTCTATTTTATCACATTTTCTATAACAAATGTACCATTTTACCCTTAATATCATTCATTCCATTACTCCGTTTGTGTAACACTTTTGCACAATATTTGGTATAATAAATAAGCTAATACTATGAATTGGTGATACCGTAAAAAAAAAATCGATGACACCATACGCTTAAACATAATATAAGAAAAAAATTTAAAATAATTTTAAAAAAAACCGTTAACACCATACGTTTAAACATAATACAAGAAAAAAATTATAAAAAAAACATGTGATATCGTACACTGAAGCATAATACAAAGAAAAAATTCAAAATAATTTTTAAAAAAAAATCGATGACACCGTACACTTAAACATAATATAATGAAAAAATTCAAAATAATTTTTTTTTAAATTAAAAAAAAAACCAATGACACCGTACGCTTAAACATAATACAGGAAAACAATTCAAAATAAATTTTTTATATGTGAACTCTTCATAGAGGAGGGTATTTGTGTCATTTTATTCTCTTATACCATCCTTTCATTTGTACCGAGAAGATAATACCACCGGGTAAGTGGTATTCATTAATACCATGTACAAGATTTTTAGGACACTATTCAAATCAGGTTGGTATTACGAACCAAAAAATACTATTGGACGTAAAATGTCAAACAAACAAGGTATTAGATAGGTCTCACGTACTATTTCTTTCTATCTCACCCTATAATACCATCTAATCCTTCGATCAAACATGCCCCTATTGTATTATGTGAGATTCACTTGTTTACTTGTTATTTTTTTAGTAGATGATGACATCTAGGACTAATAATTAAGCCGAGCTATTCGGACTCGGTTCGGAAAATATTCGACTCAAGCTTAGCTCGTATTTTAACGAGTTGAAATTAAACAATTTTTTAGACTCATTTAGAAAATGAGTCTAAAATATTTGGCTTGAACTCGNTTTGTGTAACACTTTTGCACAATATTTGGTATAATAAATAAGCTAATACTATGAATTGGTGATACCGTAAAAAAAAAATTCGATGACACCATACGCTTAAACATAATATAAGAAAAAAATTTAAAATAATTTTAGAAAAAAAATTTAAAAAAAAAACCGTTAACACCATACGTTTAAACATAATACAAGAAAAAAATTATAAAAAAAACCTGTGATATCGTACACTGAAGCATAATACAAAGAAAAAATTCAAAATAATTTTTAAAAAAAATCGATGACACCGTACACTTAAACATAATATAATGAAAAAATTCAAAATAATTTTTTTTTAAATTAAAAAAAAAAAAACCAATGACACCGTACGCTTAAACATAATACAAGAAAACAATTCAAAATAAATTTTTTATATGTGAACTCTTCATAGAGGAGGGTATTTGTGTCATTTTATTCTCTTATACCGTCCTTTTATTTGTACCGAGAAGATAATACCACCGGGTAAGTGGTATTCATTAATACCATGTACAAGATTTTTAGGACACTATTCAAATCAGGTTGGTATTACGACCCAAAAAATACTATTGGATGTAAAATGTCAAACAAACAAGATATTAGATAGGTCTCACGTACTATTTCTTTCTATCTCACCCTATAATACCATCTAATCCTTCGATCAAACATGCCCCTATTGTATTATGTGAGATTCACTTGTTTACTTGTTATTTTTTTAGTAGATGATGACACCTAGGACTAATAATTAAGCCGAGCTATTCGGACTCGGTTCGGAAAATATTCGACTCAAGGTTAGCTCGTATTTTAACGAGTTGAAATTGAACAATTTTTTAGACTCATTTAGAAAATGAGTCTAAAATATTTGGCTTAAACTCACAAAACTCAACTTATTTATATGTTAAATAATCGAGTTACTCGATATATTCATTTAAAAAAACGAACTCAACAAAGAAGCACCGGATTTTCGGTGAAAGCCCACCATGAAAACCTCCATATTTAGCAAGACACCACATCTATATTCCCACGAGATTCCGGATAAAGCAAGGCATGCTAGTTCCCAAAATAGGCATTATTAAGTGGAGGAAGAAGAGGTCAATCTAAGAGTAAACCCTATACAGAAGCATTCACAATCGGGCAGGTCACTTTTATTTTTTTTTCACGGTGATATTCAGATTAATTTATTCATATTTCGATTAATTTTATTTTTGGTCTGATTAAAGATAAGTCATTCACATTAGACATTACATTGAGGTTTTCACTTGTTGTAGAATATTTAATTTAAGTCATAGCTATTAATCTAGGACGGTCGAACTCATCACTACAGTACCATTGAGGGCAATTTGGACATTTAACTCTTCCCACGTCATCTAGTTCATAAGAACTATTGTCGCAAGCGAGTTAAAAACCATGATTATTTAAGGAGGTTGAGACTTTCGCCCTTTACTNGTCATTTTATTCTCTTATACCGTCCTTTTATTTGTACCGAGAAGATAATACCACCGGGTAAGTGGTATTCATTAATACCATGTACAAGATTTTTAGGACACTATTCAAATCAGGTTGGTATTACGACCCAAAAAATACTATTGGATGTAAAATGTCAAACAAACAAGATATTAGATAGGTCTCACGTACTATTTCTTTCTATCTCACCCTATAATACCATCTAATCCTTCGATCAAACATGCCCTTATTGTATTATGTGAGATTCACTTGTTTACTTGTTATTTTTTTAGTAGATGATGACACCTAGGACTAATAATTAAGCCGAGCTATTCGGACTCGGTTCGGAAAATATTCGACTCAAGGTTAGCTCGTATTTTAACGAGTTGAAATTGAACAATTTTTTAGACTCATTTAGAAAATGAGTCTAAAATATTTGGCTTAAACTCACAAAACTCAACTTATTTATATGTTAAATAATCGAGTTACTCGATATATTCATTTAAAAAAACGAACTCAACAAAGAAGCACCGGATTTTCGGTGAAAGCCCACCATGAAAACCTCCATATTTAGCAAGACACCACATCTATATTCCCACGAGATTCCGGATAAAGCAAGGCATGCTAGTTCCCAAAATAGGCATTATTAAGTGGAGGAAGAAGAGGTCAATCTAAGAGTAAACCCTATACAGAAGCATTCACAATCGGGCAGGTCACTTTTATTTTTTTTTCACGGTGATATTCAGATTAATTTATTCATATTTCGATTAATTTTATTTTTGGTCTGATTAAAGATAAGTCATTCACATTAGACATTATATTGAGGTTTTCACTTGTTGTAAAATATTTAATTTAAGTCATAGCTATTAATCTAGGACGGTCGAACTCATCACCACAATACCATTGAGGGCAATTTGGACATTTAACTCTTCCCACGTCATCTAGTTCATAAGAACTATTGTCGCAAGCGAGTTAAAAACAATGATTATTTAAGGAGGTTGAGACTTTCGCCCTTTACTAAAGCTAACTAGGCTATCACCTCGGTGACATCTTTTACCTCTTTTGTTTCTTTCAGTATACCTCCAATTATATTTATTGGTTTCACAACACTGTAATTGCACACATTTGTTACAAAGTAACGTCATTTGGGTTGTGAACTATAGGAGTCTTTTTTTTACGTTGCCCCAAAATCCAATTACATATACATCGGCATTTTTCATCCAAACATTACATATGTTTAGTTTCGGGGTAACATAAACACTATTCATGTAATTAAGGGAGAAATGCGAGAAACTGAAAAGTAGAGCGGTAAAATGAGATAATAATAGTTTAGGGATATAAAGAGTAATTTTTTTCTAAAAGGATACAATACACCTAAGCCTACCTAATTATTGAGAGAGGAAAACATAATCCTTTTATCTTTAGTCCCTCTACATCACATTCAACTGTACTTCAGCTTTGTTCTTCACATATGCCAGGCAAGTTGTTCCAACAGCAGGATCCTAGAGCCCACTCATGGTGTGGCGTTGCTGCGGCCGTCACCACCGGCGAGCGTGGAACCTCTCGGTGACTGTTGATCCCCACGACGCCAGCCGTGACCATGCCCGATAGCCTCCCATTCGATAAACTTCCACCCTTATCATCCCACTCAGGAACAGGGGTCACAGTCGATGGGAAACTGTCAAGCAAGCTCAAGAAATCGTCATCCATGGAGTTCATCTCCTCCAATGGGTTCTTCTTCCTTTTCATCCCTGTTAGAATTAAAATTTACAAACTGTCATATTAAAACATATAAACCAAAAATTAATTAAAGCCAGTGTAAATGTAGTTTCTTATAGCTATGCCCCTTAGTTCTTACAAGAAGACAAACATAATTAGTAAGTCAATTAATTTTCAAGTAAGGCATACAATACTTAAATAAGATTCTCCACTTTAACTGCCACAAAAAATAAGCCAAACATAAAGAAGGCCACCTAGTAAATTTGGCTTTTGGTTCCAGCTGACCTTTTTCTTAGTGGGAAATATGTCAACACCATTCTTCTAGACTCTTGTTTTTTTTGGTAGTGCGGTTTTTGGGTTAACTTATGCGTACATCAACTAATTCTTTCTTTAGTTGATCATCCTAACCGGAACCAAAGACTGACCCAAAGAAATTGTCAAGTTTCAAATTTAAAATATTTTAATTTATAGCTCGTTTTTATCTTCACTAAACAATCACTTGAATTTTTAGACTCGTATTGATATCATAAATCTCATACACGTTCATACGTGTAGTATTATATTAATACGTACACCGGTTAAACTTGAATTGTGATATAGGGTGATGGAATCAAATTCAATACACTTCTTGGGTTATATTGATTTTATTCTACGATTCAACCAACTCATACAAAGAGGCCTTTGTCTCCAAATTTTTCGGGTTTGACTATATGAATTTTGTTTCGTTATTGTGTTGTATTCAGGATCGTAATTTCTATTAAATTATAAGTCATCATATTCTTTAGTCTATGACAAAAATGTTTCACAATAAGCAGGTGTTTAGACAAAGAGAGACTCACCAATGGATGAAGGAGCAAAGATTGAACTCTCCCAAAGGTTTTCCACCGCCTCTTCCGATACACATTTCACTTTAGCTTCATTGTCTGCCGGAGATTTCTCTTTCTTTGATTTCTCAGCCCGAGTCAAAGCTTGGGATTCCTCCACTAGATCTTCCAACAAACCACTATTTCCTAGTGGAATTTCTGGTGCAATTTCATACTCTTCAGCATCACTTGATGTTGCATCTATTATATAGCCACTCCCAGTATTTGCAGAAGAAGTTGGCGATGGTTTTGGCAATGGTGATTGGATTGAAGGCAGCTCAATACCCATGTCCAATGAACTGATTGGATAAAAAGAAACTTCCTTATGAGATCTTGAATTGTTGTTGTAACGGAAAGAATTGAAGTGAAGTGAAGGTGTTTGTTGAAATAGCTCACTGGAAAAGCCCGGATTAAACCATGGTTCTGTGGCTGCAGGAAATGGCAAACTGGGAGATGTAAGTGACAAAGCGAGACCACCATTGTTGTCGCGAAAGAGATTGAACTGGGGGTTGGAATTGGGGAGAAATGAAGAATTTGGGTGCTGCTTTGGAGGATTGGCAGTGGGTGGAAAATTGATACGATTGAAGAGGGAAAGAGTGAGACTGTGGCTGTTTTTTTGAGAGTGAGATGATGAAGATGATGATAGGAGAGATGAAAGTGAAGATGATGAAGAGTTGGGTTGTCTTTGATGCTGTTGCTGGCGGTGGTTGGTTTGTCTTTGTTGGTCATGGTGATGGTGGAGCTGGTGGTGCTTTGGTTGTATGTCAGCTGGGTATATGGGTAAACCAGCTCGCTGGCGTCTCTTCACCCTTGTGTTCCAGTAATTTTTTATCTCATTATCTGTTCTACCAGGAAGCTGCTATGCAGAGAACAAGAATAAATGAATCAGACAAGGAGACTAAAGAAAGACAAACAGAGTAGATGGTCAAAATCACAATTAAGAGCCTGATACAGTGTACAGCACACACACACACACACACACAGAGCAAACAGAACACCCAAAGCTTATGTTTGGGAATTGACAAATCAAAATTATAGTTATGGAGATCGTCAACGGAAGAATAAGAAGAAAGTCACCAGATAATCTACATACTGCATGAAACTATACTTGTGTGTATATATGTGCATATATATGGAGAGAGAGAGAGCGAGCGAGCTACACCCTTGCGGAAACTCCATAAAACAGATGAAAACACACACAGACATATTTGAACATATCTACATACATACATATATATATATATATATATATATATATATATAATGACCAATTACCATATAAAACACAAAGAAATCAACAAAAATGAAGAAGAAGAAGAAGAAGAGAGAGAAGAGAAGAGATGATTTACAACCTGGGCAGCCATGCGAGCCCATTTGTTACCGAGCTTAGCGTGAAGCTCAACGATGAGCCTCTCTTCCTCAGCAGAAAATGTGCCCTTCTTGAGATTAGGCCTCAGATGGTTAGCCCATCTCAGCCTACAACTCTTACCACATCTTATCAACCCAGAGTTCCTCTGAACTGAATTCCAGTTTCCTTCACCATGCTTCTTCACGTACTCCATCAAGATCGCGTCCTCCACGGCTGTCCATGGCCCCTTCTTCAGCACCTGTCTGGAGGGCCCTCCACTCTTCCCGGAGGCTCCACTACTCCTTGACCCATCACCGCCATCCGGGGCCATCTTCTGATCTTCCTCTCCTTTTTATTAACGAAAAAAAAAAAGAAAGGAAATGTTGGTTTTGTTCTGTGTGTTTGGCTCTGGTAAAATGTCTCCCCCCTCTCCTGATGAGAGAGATGCACAAAAGACAGGAGAGAGAAAGACAAATGAAGTGATGTGGTCTTGTCCCCCTCCTTAGGCTTGCTTAAGAAAAAATGTGTGTGTGTGTGTGTGTGTGTGAGAGAGAGAGAGAGAGAGAGAGCTGACTTGAGGAGAAAGATGGCTGACAGATGAGGGGAGAGAGAGAGTGTGGTGGACCAAACTGGAGAAAGAGGGCTGTGAAAGACCCCATGGGGTGTTGTTGAATTTATGGGCGTGAGCTTTCTTTTCGGCCCGGATTGCGTGGTACACAGTCCGTTCGAGCCCGGGTTCTCTTTGTCCAAGCTGTTCAGAATTTTTGGTAGGAGCCCCTTGTTTTAGCTTTTATTAGGCATTACTCATTAATTAATCCTCTGGGGTTACTTGGATAATAGATTTCTAATTCTCAAATTTATTTTTATAATAAAAAATAAAAACAAAGAGTGAATTTTAAGATCAAAATAGTAGTGTCAAAATATGATATGATCAACTAACACGACACGAAATTAAATGATTAGATCTTCCTTAAGTCGCCCGTTTTGTAAATGAGTGGATCGAACATAACACAATTAATAAGCAAATCGGGTATGAGTGAAATCAATCAAAAGAAATACACAATACGATTTATTTATATACTAATTATATACGATTCATATATGACATGAATCTAATAAAATTCAACACGAATCCATCTTATCTAACACAATTGACATGCCTAGATCAAAATGGACAATAAAAATCGAAAGCCTTTTTTTTTCGGAATTTTTAGATATTATGCAACTCACGTCTGTTGTAAATTAGAATAATAAATCGTCACATACGATAACATTAAATATTACAAAATCTATTATATTTAATAATCTTGCATGAATGACTTTGAAGCATTTAAACAATTAAAATTCTCACCTAATTTGTCACATTTTTCAGTCATTCTTTCACCTTCACAAACATTTTGTCTAAAATGGGGAAACGGCAAAAAAAGGGCCTTTTTCAATTAGGGTGTGTGGATATTTTCGATTGTCCGGGTGTACTTCATTTGCTCAAAAATTGGCATAAAAAAAAGAAATAAGCAAGAAAAACTAGGGGTCTGTTTAGTTTATATCTCAGAAAATAATATCCGAAAACTATTTTTAAAAAAAAATTGAAAACTAATTTTGGTATTTTTTGTGACACAGAACTTGGTTGGTTATATATTTCTAAAAACAGTTGTGCAAAACAAAAAACAGAAAATCTATTTGGACATGCACATGACAAACTTAGAACTTGTAATATTTTAATATAATAAACTTGATAAAATACCAAAATAAAAATCTAGCCATTGATTGAAGTACATTGTCGAAGCTTTGCTGGAGTAGACGAACCCATCGACAGAACTGGTACATGACAGAAAAGAACATAAATCTAAAATCCAAAACTCAAAATTCAAGATCCATCCAAGATTAAACATACATGGCCTCTGGTACACAATGGAGAAGATGAACCCAATTACTGGAAAAGAATCCTTTTGTCAAGACTTAGATCTAAAAAAAATAAAACTCAAATCTAAAAAAATAATCGGCTCTTAAAAAAAACCCTATATTTGAAGCTCTCAATCATCAAAAAGCCCTCAGTCAATGGAGAAGATGATAAACCCATTTGTCGGAGAAGAACCATTTCGCCGGAGAAGACCTAGATCTGAAACAATACTCAAATCTAAAAAAAAACCATTGATCTGAAGATCTCAATCATTAGAGAGCCCTCAATCGACAGAGAAGATGATCTTCAATCGTCAGAAAAGATGATGTGTGCGTCTGTTGTCGTGTGGTTTCGTCGCTGAAGTGGAGAGAAAGTCTGAGAGAGAGAGAGAGGGTCGAGAAGAGAAATAGGCAAAAAAAAAAAAAAAGGGTTTATCCTAGATACTATTTTTTGTTGCTAAGAATGTTCGAAGTGGAGACCTCATTATTTTGAAAATGAGGTTGGTTTTCCGTGATTTCATTTTACTTCAAAAAATTCCAAGAATAACAAAATTTTGTTCTCTAAAATCACATCTCAATTCCCAAAATTTTTAAAAAATTGGAGAACAAAAAAGCTAACCAAACAATATCTTCCTTGTTNACGTCTCTTCACCCTTGTGTTCCAGTAATTTTTTATCTCATTATCTGTTCTACCAGGAAGCTGCTATGCAGAGAACAAGAATAAATGAATCAGACAAGGAGACTAAAGAAAGACAAACAGAGTAGATGGTCAAAATCACAATTAAGAGCCTGATACAGTGTACAGAACACACACACACACACACACAGAGCAAACAGAACACCCAAAGCTTATGTTTGGGAATTGACAAATCAAAATTATAGTTATGGAGATCGTCAACGGAAGAATAAGAAGAAAGTCACCAGATAATCTACATACTGCATGAAACTATACTTGTGTGTATATATGTGCATATATATGGAGAGAGAGAGAGCGAGCGAGCTACACCCTTGCGGAAACTCCATAAAACAGATGAAAACACACACAGACATATTTGAACATATCTACATACATACATATATATATATATATATATATATATATATATAATGACCAATTACCATATAAAACACAAAGAAATCAACAAAAATGAAGAAGAAGAAGAAGAAGAGAGAGAAGAGAAGAGATGATTTACAACCTGGGCAGCCATGCGAGCCCATTTGTTACCGAGCTTAGCGTGAAGCTCAACGATGAGCCTCTCTTCCTCAGCAGAAAATGTGCCCTTCTTGAGATTAGGCCTCAGATGGTTAGCCCATCTCAGCCTACAACTCTTACCACATCTTATCAACCCAGAGTTCCTCTGAACTGAATTCCAGTTTCCTTCACCATGCTTCTTCACGTACTCCATCAAGATCGCGTCCTCCACGGCTGTCCATGGCCCCTTCTTCAGCACCTGTCTGGAGGGCCCTCCACTCTTCCCGGAGGCTCCACTACTCCTTGACCCATCACCGCCATCCGGGGCCATCTTCTGATCTTCCTCTCCTTTTTATTAACGAAAAAAAAAAAGAAAGGAAATGTTGGTTTTGTTCTGTGTGTTTGGCTCTGGTAAAATGTCTCCCCCCTCTCCTGATGAGAGAGATGCACAAAAGACAGGAGAGAGAAAGACAAATGAAGTGATGTGGTCTTGTCCCCCTCCTTAGGCTTGCTTAAGAAAAAATGTGTGTGTGTGTGTGTGTGTGTGAGAGAGAGAGAGAGAGAGAGAGCTGACTTGAGGAGAAAGATGGCTGACAGATGAGGGGAGAGAGAGAGTGTGGTGGACCAAACTGGAGAAAGAGGGCTGTGAAAGACCCCATGGGGTGTTGTTGAATTTATGGGCGTGAGCTTTCTTTTCGGCCCGGATTGCGTGGTACACAGTCCGTTCGAGCCCGGGTTCTCTTTGTCCAAGCTGTTCAGAATTTTTGGTAGGAGCCCCTTGTTTTAGCTTTTATTAGGCATTACTCATTAATTAATCCTCTGGGGTTACTTGGATAATAGATTTCTAATTCTCAAATTTATTTTTATAATAAAAAATAAAAACAAAGAGTGAATTTTAAGATCAAAATAGTAGTGTCAAAATATGATATGATCAACTAACACGACACGAAATTAAATGATTAGATCTTCCTTAAGTCGCCCGTTTTGTAAATGAGTGGATCGAACATAACACAATTAATAAGCAAATCGGGTATGAGTGAAATCAATCAAAAGAAATACACAATACGATTTATTTATATACTAATTATATACGATTCATATATGACATGAATCTAATAAAATTCAACACGAATCCATCTTATCTAACACAATTGACATGCCTAGATCAAAATGGACAATAAAAATCGAAAGCCTTTTTTTTTCGGAATTTTTAGATATTATGCAACTCACGTCTGTTGTAAATTAGAATAATAAATCGTCACATACGATAACATTAAATATTACAAAATCTATTATATTTAATAATCTTGCATGAATGACTTTGAAGCATTTAAACAATTAAAATTCTCACCTAATTTGTCACATTTTTCAGTCATTCTTTCACCTTCACAAACATTTTGTCTAAAATGGGGAAACGGCAAAAAAAGGGCCTTTTTCAATTAGGGTGTGTGGATATTTTCGATTGTCCGGGTGTACTTCATTTGCTCAAAAATTGGCATAAAAAAAAGAAATAAGCAAGAAAAACTAGGGGTCTGTTTAGTTTATATCTCAGAAAATAATATCCGAAAACTATTTTTAAAAAAAAATTGAAAACTAATTTTGGTATTTTTTGTGACACAGAACTTGGTTGGTTATATATTTCTAAAAACAGTTGTGCAAAACAAAAAACAGAAAATCTATTTGGACATGCACATGACAAACTTAGAACTTGTAATATTTTAATATAATAAACTTGATAAAATACCAAAATAAAAATCTAGCCATTGATTGAAGTACATTGTCGAAGCTTTGCTGGAGTAGACGAACCCATCGACAGAACTGGTACATGACAGAAAAGAACATAAATCTAAAATCCAAAACTCAAAATTCAAGATCCATCCAAGATTAAACATACATGGCCTCTGGTACACAATGGAGAAGATGAACCCAATTACTGGAAAAGAATCCTTTTGTCAAGACTTAGATCTAAAAAAAATAAAACTCAAATCTAAAAAAATAATCGGCTCTTAAAAAAAACCCTATATTTGAAGCTCTCAATCATCAAAAAGCCCTCAGTCAATGGAGAAGATGATAAACCCATTTGTCGGAGAAGAACCATTTCGCCGGAGAAGACCTAGATCTGAAACAATACTCAAATCTAAAAAAAAACCATTGATCTGAAGATCTCAATCATTAGAGAGCCCTCAATCGACAGAGAAGATGATCTTCAATCGTCAGAAAAGATGATGTGTGCGTCTGTTGTCGTGTGGTTTCGTCGCTGAAGTGGAGAGAAAGTCTGAGAGAGAGAGAGAGGGTCGAGAAGAGAAATAGGCAAAAAAAAAAAAAAAGGGTTTATCCTAGATACTATTTTTTGTTGCTAAGAATGTTCGAAGTGGAGACCTCATTATTTTGAAAATGAGGTTGGTTTTCCGTGATTTCATTTTACTTCAAAAAATTCCAAGAATAACAAAATTTTGTTCTCTAAAATCACATCTCAATTCCCAAAATTTTTAAAAAATTGGAGAACAAAAAAGCTAACCAAACAATATCTTCCTTGTTGTTTTCAAAATTCAAACCAAACATGCCCTAGGTCTTCTTGTTTTTTTTTTTTTTTCTGAACAATTGGGTCTCAGCCCTTTCATTAATAACAACTCAAAATACTATCTGTTAAACAGAATTGCTTTAAGCTCATCAGGTGGATTGTAAATCCAATTACAATGGAGAAAACCCATAGTCATTGATTTAGCCATCCAATTCGCTGCTTGGTTTGCATTCCTCATAACAAACTTGAACTTCAATTTCAAAATGTCTGCAGCATTTCTAATGTCATGCACCAAGGGCTTCAATTTCCCAAGGATGGACTCCCTCCTTTGAGCTCAATGCAATAATCTCCTTACTATTGCTTTCGATGCAAACTTCTGCTGCTCCCATGGAAAGTGCCCATAGACAAGCTTCCCTTCAGAGAGCTATATCTAATAGCATACGATATATTTTATGAGACGGTAGGATTGTCTAGATGTATTTGCCTTTAGAAGAAAATATTANTTGCGGAAACTCCATAAAACAGATGAAAACACACACAGACATATTTGAACATATCTACATACATACATATATATATATATATATATATATATATATATAATGACCAATTACCATATAAAACACAAAGAAATCAACAAAAATGAAGAAGAAGAAGAAGAAGAGAGAGAAGAGAAGAGATGATTTACAACCTGGGCAGCCATGCGAGCCCATTTGTTACCGAGCTTAGCGTGAAGCTCAACGATGAGCCTCTCTTCCTCAGCAGAAAATGTGCCCTTCTTGAGATTAGGCCTCAGATGGTTAGCCCATCTCAGCCTACAACTCTTACCACATCTTATCAACCCAGAGTTCCTCTGAACTGAATTCCAGTTTCCTTCACCATGCTTCTTCACGTACTCCATCAAGATCGCGTCCTCCACGGCTGTCCATGGCCCCTTCTTCAGCACCTGTCTGGAGGGCCCTCCACTCTTCCCGGAGGCTCCACTACTCCTTGACCCATCACCGCCATCCGGGGCCATCTTCTGATCTTCCTCTCCTTTTTATTAACGAAAAAAAAAAAGAAAGGAAATGTTGGTTTTGTTCTGTGTGTTTGGCTCTGGTAAAATGTCTCCCCCCTCTCCTGATGAGAGAGATGCACAAAAGACAGGAGAGAGAAAGACAAATGAAGTGATGTGGTCTTGTCCCCCTCCTTAGGCTTGCTTAAGAAAAAATGTGTGTGTGTGTGTGTGTGTGTGAGAGAGAGAGAGAGAGAGAGAGCTGACTTGAGGAGAAAGATGGCTGACAGATGAGGGGAGAGAGAGAGTGTGGTGGACCAAACTGGAGAAAGAGGGCTGTGAAAGACCCCATGGGGTGTTGTTGAATTTATGGGCGTGAGCTTTCTTTTCGGCCCGGATTGCGTGGTACACAGTCCGTTCGAGCCCGGGTTCTCTTTGTCCAAGCTGTTCAGAATTTTTGGTAGGAGCCCCTTGTTTTAGCTTTTATTAGGCATTACTCATTAATTAATCCTCTGGGGTTACTTGGATAATAGATTTCTAATTCTCAAATTTATTTTTATAATAAAAAATAAAAACAAAGAGTGAATTTTAAGATCAAAATAGTAGTGTCAAAATATGATATGATCAACTAACACGACACGAAATTAAATGATTAGATCTTCCTTAAGTCGCCCGTTTTGTAAATGAGTGGATCGAACATAACACAATTAATAAGCAAATCGGGTATGAGTGAAATCAATCAAAAGAAATACACAATACGATTTATTTATATACTAATTATATACGATTCATATATGACATGAATCTAATAAAATTCAACACGAATCCATCTTATCTAACACAATTGACATGCCTAGATCAAAATGGACAATAAAAATCGAAAGCCTTTTTTTTTCGGAATTTTTAGATATTATGCAACTCACGTCTGTTGTAAATTAGAATAATAAATCGTCACATACGATAACATTAAATATTACAAAATCTATTATATTTAATAATCTTGCATGAATGACTTTGAAGCATTTAAACAATTAAAATTCTCACCTAATTTGTCACATTTTTCAGTCATTCTTTCACCTTCACAAACATTTTGTCTAAAATGGGGAAACGGCAAAAAAAGGGCCTTTTTCAATTAGGGTGTGTGGATATTTTCGATTGTCCGGGTGTACTTCATTTGCTCAAAAATTGGCATAAAAAAAAGAAATAAGCAAGAAAAACTAGGGGTCTGTTTAGTTTATATCTCAGAAAATAATATCCGAAAACTATTTTTAAAAAAAAATTGAAAACTAATTTTGGTATTTTTTGTGACACAGAACTTGGTTGGTTATATATTTCTAAAAACAGTTGTGCAAAACAAAAAACAGAAAATCTATTTGGACATGCACATGACAAACTTAGAACTTGTAATATTTTAATATAATAAACTTGATAAAATACCAAAATAAAAATCTAGCCATTGATTGAAGTACATTGTCGAAGCTTTGCTGGAGTAGACGAACCCATCGACAGAACTGGTACATGACAGAAAAGAACATAAATCTAAAATCCAAAACTCAAAATTCAAGATCCATCCAAGATTAAACATACATGGCCTCTGGTACACAATGGAGAAGATGAACCCAATTACTGGAAAAGAATCCTTTTGTCAAGACTTAGATCTAAAAAAAATAAAACTCAAATCTAAAAAAATAATCGGCTCTTAAAAAAAACCCTATATTTGAAGCTCTCAATCATCAAAAAGCCCTCAGTCAATGGAGAAGATGATAAACCCATTTGTCGGAGAAGAACCATTTCGCCGGAGAAGACCTAGATCTGAAACAATACTCAAATCTAAAAAAAAACCATTGATCTGAAGATCTCAATCATTAGAGAGCCCTCAATCGACAGAGAAGATGATCTTCAATCGTCAGAAAAGATGATGTGTGCGTCTGTTGTCGTGTGGTTTCGTCGCTGAAGTGGAGAGAAAGTCTGAGAGAGAGAGAGAGGGTCGAGAAGAGAAATAGGCAAAAAAAAAAAAAAAGGGTTTATCCTAGATACTATTTTTTGTTGCTAAGAATGTTCGAAGTGGAGACCTCATTATTTTGAAAATGAGGTTGGTTTTCCGTGATTTCATTTTACTTCAAAAAATTCCAAGAATAACAAAATTTTGTTCTCTAAAATCACATCTCAATTCCCAAAATTTTTAAAAAATTGGAGAACAAAAAAGCTAACCAAACAATATCTTCCTTGTTGTTTTCAAAATTCAAACCAAACATGCCCTAGGTCTTCTTGTTTTTTTTTTTTTTTCTGAACAATTGGGTCTCAGCCCTTTCATTAATAACAACTCAAAATACTATCTGTTAAACAGAATTGCTTTAAGCTCATCAGGTGGATTGTAAATCCAATTACAATGGAGAAAACCCATAGTCATTGATTTAGCCATCCAATTCGCTGCTTGGTTTGCATTCCTCATAACAAACTTGAACTTCAATTTCAAAATGTCTGCAGCATTTCTAATGTCATGCACCAAGGGCTTCAATTTCCCAAGGATGGACTCCCTCCTTTGAGCTCAATGCAATAATCTCCTTACTATTGCTTTCGATGCAAACTTCTGCTGCTCCCATGGAAAGTGCCCATAGACAAGCTTCCCTTCAGAGAGCTATATCTAATAGCATACGATATATTTTATGAGACGGTAGGATTGTCTAGATGTATTTGCCTTTAGAAGAAAATATTATTGCCAAGAAAAATTGTAGATTTTTATAAAAGAAAGATTATTTTGCTCTTTTTCATGGGCTTGAAAACATTTTTATGGTTGAGTTATAGACTTTTGGAAGTTACTTTGGCAAGAGAATTGTCTTGGCACACATTACCATAGCCAGGACTGTTGGCACCTCAAGTTATATGAGTCGCCTAGTGTCATGTAGATGTTATTATTTGTAATTCGTATCATGTTTGTGTCGATACAAACAAACAAACAAAAAAAATCTATTTAAGGTTGTTGTGTTGGTGTTAACGGGTCAAATTGACACCCTTATATCAGATATGGTTCTTGACAAGTCTAAAACATGAATCGGATTTCCAAGCAACGTCTATGAGATCAAGTTATAAACAACTGTAATACAAGGAAAAATCTACAGTGCTATATCAAAAACTTCTACGATCCAATCAAGTTAGAAGTCAATATGATCACAGTTACTAATCATCGAGGTTCAAAACTTTGAGGTCAATCCCCAGTTTTTGAATCGATTTCATTGAGCCGTAACTTGAGTTGAATGGATAGCAGTCCAGTAACGAGAACTTTTCGTTATCAGAAACAACTGTAACCATTAATATCCTGAACGTCAATAGTTCTACTACAGTTTCATCAGATTGTCCATCTTCACCTCATCAACAAATCTTACAACAGTTCCTAAGAATTTTCTGCAAAATTTATTCCAGTTCATATCAATCCGGTTATCAGAAAACTACTTCCAAGTAGGAAGGGAAAAACTGATCGAGATTTACCAGACTCCTGCCCCAAGAACTCTACTTTTATCGGCATGCAGATCAAGATTTCTCAAACAATGTAGCATGGATCGACGCAAAACGTAATCGATACAGGGTAACAAATGCACACTTCCTCTCTTCCTAATGTAGCATGGATGCAGAACACAGTAAGTACTACAAAATGTACACTTCCTCTCTATCTCATGAAATTGTGTAAAAGAGTAGAATAGCAACGCACCATGCAGAACATAATAGATACAGGGTACCAAATGTATACCCTCTCTCTAACGGCACACAGAAGTTCCAAAACTAACCTTGTGGTCTCTGGCATTCAATTGTGTGAAATAGTAGAATAGCAATAAATAGATTATAAGTTATTTACCAAAATCAAAACTTCCAGTGATATTTAATTTACTTTATATGTGGGGCAGTGCCAGACGGTCCGTCTTCAGGAAATATTGTATTCACCATGTTTTCATCTTCTTCCCAAAGAAACATTTTTGGGGTGATAGATTTACTTACAATGAAATGAGAGTCAATTCATAAGTAACTATTAAACACAGACTCGCCTGGCCTGCGTGGGACATGCATAACTCGACACGACATATCCTAAAAACGGGGGCACTAATATAACTAAAACACGACATATCCTAAAAGTTTTGTTCCTTAATAGCTACACAAATTCAGCGGTACATGACATACACTATAGATTAGTACTGCATAATGGCACCACAGAAAAATTTGAACAAAAAATATTCCAGCATTGTGCATAAACAGTAAACAATTGGAAACTTTATTTTGACATCTTTAAGTAATAGCAGCAGTTCTCTCACTGATATTTGAGTTTTACTCGATCTACAACAGATAAGTTATCATTGGAAGACATGATTCCATTTGGTGGCACTCCAGTGTGCTCAATAAGCAAGGATGAGAAAGGAATGCATTTCTACTCTCATGCACATAAAGTTTAGTAGGTTGGAACTCTCATTAAAGTGTCCACAACCCATGCCCATGCTTCCAATATCAAAAAAACTTATATTCATAGGACAAGAAGGAAGATTCACGCTGAACAAAAGGGATTAAGAACCAGGAGGCACTCTACGCCACCTGCCACTAGAATGTCCCAGAAAAAGCAGCATATCAGCTCAAGCCACCACAAGGATGCAGCATGAAAAATCCCAGGCGACCATGCACCATGTCTAATTTGATACCAATATCTTGGGAAGTTTTCCCAACCCAAACCAAATTCAAATTGCAGAGACTTTGCTAAGTACTCACAACAGATCTTTGATGAAATCAAGGTTTAGTGTATCCCTGATGATAAGGAATAAGCCAAGAATTATAACAAACATGATTCCTGATGACATAATACCCTGCTCTAATTCCAAAGGAAGCTTTCTTCCACCTCTGGCTGCCTCTATAAGGATCAAGGCCAAAGTACCTCCATCTAAAGCAGGCAAAGGTAGAAGATTTATTACAGCAAGGTTAATATTCAGAATAGCTGCAAATTGGTAAAGTCCATCAATATTCGACTTTGCGACCTCAGCACCAACAGCTATGATGGCAACAGGACCTGAAACCTTGCTGGCGGATTGTGAGAAATTAAGGAAAGTCTGCTTCAAGCTGTCCAAAACATTAGATGAAAGACCCCAAAATTCTCTCCCCGAGTACTTGAAAGCTTCTATAAGATTTGTTGGTCTAACCTTCGAAATTTTCACATTTGGTGATAATTGAACTCCTATTCGACCTGTACCATCCAAATTCTCATCAGGGGTGACACTAATTTCCAAATCCTGCTGTCCCCTCCCAACCTTAAGCAACACATTTCTTTTGGGATTTTTCTTAATGACATCAACAACCTCAGAAACCAGATTAGGGCCTGTTTTTAGCAAATCAATTCCATTAACGCCTAGAATTACATCACCAGGGAGCATCCCATCTCTTGATGCAGCCGAAAAGGGCCGAACCTCAGGAACAAGCACCCCAGGGAAGGCCTCTTGGACAGGCAATCCAACAGACAAGACTTGTACGAAGATTATAACATATGCAAACACTATATTGGCAATTACACCAGCTGAAACAACAAGTATTCTATCAAAAACTGGTCTATTTTTCAGTAAATTTTCGTCGTCTACTGGAATATCGCTATCAGGATCATTATCAGGAAAACCAACAAAGCCACCAAGAGGAAATGCTCTAACTGAGTACTCCACATTGTTTGAATTAAATTTAGCTAAAATTGGACCAAACCCAACTGCAAATTTACTCACATGAATGCCCTGAAGATAAGCTGCCAGAAAGTGACCACTCTCATGAACAACAATGATAGCTGTCAACACCGCAGCTGCCTCTAGAACTGATTGAGCACTCTCAAAGCCACCAATATCAAATCCAGACAAAGCCCAAGTCCTGAAATTTTTTCTCTTTCCATCTGGGTATCTAATCTTGTCATAGAAAAATTGATTCGTTGAATGAAAATTGGGATGTGAAGAAAATGGGCAATGAATTGAAGAAGATAAAGATTTGGGTTTTAGAGGGAATTCTGAGATGGGTGACTTTGAATTAATTAATCTGATGAGAGAGAAAGAAGAAGAAGATGGAGAGGATAATAGGTTCATTATCATGTTCTTCTTTATCTGATTTTGCTTCTTTTGGGGGTGAATTAAGAGAGAAACGTTTGGTTATGGGGGAGAGAGAGGGGGCTTGGATAATTCATATTATCGTCTTGGGATAATTCGCATTATTTGATCTGTGGAGGGGAAGTGAGCAAGACGTTACACGTATTCCACTGTTTGTGTTTGTAATGGTACCCTTCAGTTCCTATGCTCAGTTCGGTTAGACGAAAAAAATGAAAAATTAAAAAAGTTTGGAGGATGAAAAATTAAATGGATAAATAAAATATCATATTTGATAAGGAATAATGAAAAAGTGAATAGATTAACTTTCCTTATAACTTATCAAAATTAACTCCTCTAAAATCGGAAGAAAAATGGATGGAAAGTTAATTATTTGTGTTGAGATATATCTTATTTGTCTATATATCTTTTTATATTTACATATATTATATATACATTAATTTCATATAAAAATACAACCGTAAAATATATGTGTGTGTGTGTGTGTGTGTATATATATATATATATATATATATAAAAAAAAATTTTAAAAATTTAAAATAAAAATAAAAATTTAAAATAAAAAAATTTATTTTTTTCATCTTAACTAAAGGTGAAAATTTTCGACTCAACACGATGACACGACTCGAACTCAATACGAAAATAAACAGATTAACTCGCAACTCGATACAACATAATTAATTAAATAAGTTAAGTTAAATTTGACTAATATTCGATAGAAATCCGTAATAACTCAATACGAATCTGACACGACACGACTCGATTGACATCTCTAATCTTAGTCATCACCAAAAAAAATAATAATAATTATTATTTTTATTCTTCATATATCCAAACAAACACAAAGGAAAAAAGTGTATCATTTTTATTTTTTATCTTTGAAAGAAGAAAAGTGTATCATTCCTATTTTTCATCCTTGAAGAATAGAAAGTGTATCCTTCTTACTTTTCATCCTTCCTACCAAACAGAACAGTGTAGTCGCCAAAATTTTATTTTTCCTTTTTAATTTTTTTATAGCAAGAATTATGCGAGGGGGAAGATGATAAAAAAAAGGGCATTCGATTCGTACACTTTTCGTACTCAAGAGAAGAGGTCACATCAAAAGTCGATAAATTGCAAGAAGCTCTTGATCCCATTCAAATAACATGCAGTAAGTCTTTAAAAAATAAGGGTTAATAGTAAAATGCTTCCTAAAAGATTCTTCGAATATTAATTTACACTCTCAAAAATTAAAAATTTGAATTTACACCTTCAAAAATATAAATTTGAATTAATGTGTACCCTCAAATATTAAAAATTTCAATTTACATCCTTAAAAATAAAAATTTATATCAATATGGACCTAAAACTAACCATCGTCAATTTACTATTTAAAACTAAATTGATAAATTATACTTAGATCCCCTCATACTTATCACTTAATTATTTGGACTCTTTCACATTTTAAATATTACTCATACATCTCATGACGTTTGTGTACGTGTAACACATAACCTCTTTTCGTTGATATTTGTTAATATAATCATTAAAAATATGATTTTATCCTAATAAAAAAATTATAATTTTATATTACTTTTTATTTTGTGAGTCCAATATACACTAAAGTTTAAAATAAAGTTTACCATTTGAATGTCCAATAGAATAAAAGGTTGCACATTGAATGATATATTGCATTAGATATAAAAAATATTATATAAATATTTATATTCTATTAGATATTCAAATGGTTAACTTGATTTTTAACTATAGAGTATATCAGATTCACAAAATAAAGGGTAATATGAAATTATAATTTTTTATTATGATAAAATCATATTTTTTAACGGTTATATTAACAAATATCAACGAAAATAGGTTACGTGTTAAACGTGCACAAACTCCATGAGATGTATGAGTAATATTCTAAATGTGAAGGGATTCAAATAATTAAGTGATAAGCATGAGGGGATCTAAGTATAATTTATCAATTTAGTTTTAGACAGCAAACTGACGGCGATTAGTTTTAGGTGCATATTGATACAAATTTCTATCTTTGAGGGTATAAATTGAGATTTTTGATCTTTGAGAGTGCACATTGATATAAACTTAAATCTTTGAGAGTACAAATTAAAATTTTTGATCTTTGGGGGTATAAATTGAGATTTAAACGATCTTTTGAGGTACAATTTATAATTAACCCAAAAAATAAAATTAATTATTTATAAATTTGAGAAGTGTGAGATGAAAGAGTTCATGTGATGCGGATGTGTAGAATAACAATTATAAGAACACAAGAGAGTAATGGTTGATCAACTTAAAGAGTTAAGTTAGTTCATTTTAATTGAGTTTCTTACTTTTTCTTGTTTGTATTACTCAAAAAAGAAAGAAATTATAGCTTTCTATGAATACAATTGCTCATGGCAATGGTTTACATATTTATACATTAGGATAATGTAGTTCTTATTGTCATAGTTAAGTGATTCCCAAATCAGTTAGAACATTTTTTGAATCATTGGTCAATAGAGCCTACTCTCTTTAGGCACTATAGCCCACTTTGTGGTTGAGTTTGGAGGGATTTGGAGGCTGGTCCCTAGGTTTAATAGGATTCTAAAAATAGTTTACTTGCTAATTTTTTTGATTTGAATTAGGTCATGTTAAAAAGTCAAAGTAATGAACATAACTAATACCTTTTACAAATACAAAAAATAACGATAATGTTATCACCTAATTTAAACACATATTCTAAAAAATCACGTCTTCATGACGTATATAATTTTTTATAAACACAAATCGTAAGACAAATATACTAAAAAAAAAAGTTACGCAATTAAAAAATAATATATATATATATATATATATATATTTGAGCCAAAAAAATAACAGGTACGCAATAAAAAAAATATAAAAAAAAATACAGGTACGCAATAATCGTCAAACAAGTACACTAAAATACAAATTGTCAATCAAGCATACTAAAATACAGATCATCAGATAAGTACACAATAACACAGATCGTACCTTCTTCTCTATAAATGCAGATCGTCGAACAAATACACTAAAACATATATCATCAAACTTTGTCATAATGTCTAAATTGCTTAGTTCAAGAGTTTGAATTTAAAAAATGATAGATAATATCGTAAAAATCTCAATAACAAACTTAAAAAAAAAATTAATTATATTTTATGCTGAAATCATGTGATAAAAGCAAAATGGGTAATGAAAACCAGTATCTAACCAACATTTAACATTCGTGCCAACACATGAATAGCATGCAAGTTTTTTCAAAAACTAAAAGATTTTATACTAAAATTAGTTTACACACAAAATGAGAGGCCTATCCTAATTAGTAATTAACTATTGTGTTTGTTTTCCTCCTTCCTGAGGTAGGGTTTTTCTGGTGAACTCTCGCTCTTGCCCTTACTAAGCACCATCGGGCTGCTTCACATATCGAATGGTTTTTTTCCTTAAATGGCCTGGCAAGCCTGGCCTAGGCAGAGGTGGCCCCTTTTTGATTGTTGGGCTGGACTCATTCTTGAGGTCTTCATTGCAGATGGGTTGGGCCTATCCCACCTTGTTTGGACTAGGCTGGCTATTGGGAATTAAAAAAAACAAGTGAAAATTAGTGATGAATCTTCCTTAAGAAACTTATAATAAATTTAGTCTGTCAAAAAAATTTATTTGGAGTTAATTTATTTTTAATATTACTAATAAGTAATTAAATCTATTATTTTTTTTAAAACTCTAAAATTCCCTTCTAATGACTTAAAAAAGCAATCTTCAATATTAAATTAATTTCCTAAACAGTCATCTTTGATTCACACTTAATGAAATATTTTTTTTCCATAAAATCTAAAATTTAAATTTAAATTTGACATCACTTTTATTTCTTTCTTTCATTTTTTTTTTTTTGCTAAGAAGACTATGGTTAGTTTAATATTTAATGTTACTATGCATGTTACTATTAGTTTAATATTTGTTTTTTTTTTGCTTGTTACTATTTTTTGTTGAAAATTTTTCTATTTTTTTATAAGTATGTTACTATTAATATTGAATGTTACTATTTTTCTGAAATATCAATATTCAATGTTACTTTTTTTTTATTGATCATATTATTATTGTTATTTTTTTTCAAATATTAATATTAATTTTTTATTTTTGAATGTTATTATTTTTTTGTGTTTAAGTGGTACTATTTTTTGTGTTTGAATATTACTATATTTTATTTTTAATGTTAATTTATATACGAGAGAGAGAGAGAGAGAGATATAAAGAATTTTAATGTTAATCAAACTCTTAAAATGTAGGAGGAGTTAGTTTAAAAATTTGTTATAATTAAATATAACTAATGAAGATATTTTGGACAATAGAAATCAAAATAGATTTTATATTAAACAAATTTTCTTGATAAACTTATCACCAATTAACTCCAGAAAGGAAGACCAGCCTACAAATTTTTCAAAAAATAACACTGAAAAATGAATACAGTCTGGTAATTGTTCCAACCACTTGCTAATATCTTTAACAATTCTTGTATTCATTTTATTCTAAATAACCCCCAAAAAGCAATTCTAACATATTCCAAAGAGTAGTGTTGGCTTTATCAAACCACTCAAAGTCTGTCAAATCTTCAACAAAAGAAGGATTTGGGTGGCTGGAAAAATCATTATTTGGATCATGGCTTATAGTAAATCAATAATTTTAGCTATTTACTTAGAGCAAAGTTTATCCACCTTGATACATTATACCTATATTTACAGACCAAAAACTTATATCGATGTATTATTCATTGAAAAATTGGTCATCTGACAATTGATTGTATAATACTCAATCCTATTTATAGAGACAAAATACTGTAATTCAAATATATTCAAATATAACTCGATTTTTATGTTTCCTATTACATGCTTACTATACCTATTCATAGTATATTAAAACTCTTCCAATATAATCTTATTCTATATAGAATTCCCACATTGATTACCCAACAAACTTTCATGACAATTAAAGAGTTTGAATCAAATTCCAACAACTTTTGTCAGCAAGAGCCACTAATCTATGCATTCATTTGGTGAACAACTTTTTTGATAAATATTTCAGCATGCACATCCTTACACATCCCAAGTAATCTCTTGTTTGGTTTCTGTTTTGGAAGCTGTCATGAGATGTATTTTTTTTTTTGTCAGATAATATTAGAAGGAGAGAAACAATAAGATTTAAACTCGCGATCCTCAGGTTTAACAATGGGGCCGATAATCATTAAACCAATCGCTATCCTCAACTATGAATGAAATGTACTAACATACTTGATTTTCAGACAAAACAACTTGCAAAACTATGCCATTTAAGAATAATAAGGCAGGTTTGGATCTACTTTAGCAAGTCTTGGACCTGCCTAAGCCCAAAAAGCCACCCCTTTGTTATACCAATGATATTATTTTTTTATTGACAAAAAAATGTAACTTTTTTGAAAAAAAATAAATATTCAATGAAAGATATCACCACCAATTCCAACATTGGTTAATTGAGATTTCAATGCCGTCCTATATATTTTTTCTTCAATTTTTTTTTAAATGATCATCTATCATTAATAAGTGAAGAACGTATTTATATACAATGAATTTCACTTAAATAGACAAGAAGTCATCCACTAAAAAAGCAATTAAAATGGAATAAGTAATGGGCTATCCTGTTGGGCTAGTTGGTGGGCTATCTCATTTCATGAATGACCAGGTTCAATGAACCTGGAAGAGCCGCCCTACTTTTATCATCTTCTTCCACCATTTCTAGCGCAGACACAAGTGCCAAAAATGTTGTTCAAGTGAAGAAGAAAAAAAAAAAGAGCGGGAGAGAGATTAGGGTTTCCCATGGTCACATAGCTGCTCTGCTTCTGCCATTATTGTTCACTATCATCTGTCCCTCTATACGAGCTTAGAGGTAAGTTTCTACCCAAACAAAAAGTTAAGATGGATCAAAGTTAGAAAAAATATATTTAGTCAAACTAGTATCGGGTTTTAAATGTTTTACTAAGTTTTGTGTATGATAATATGCAATGGATCTTCAAGAAAATCATTGTATTTTCCTCGGAAAATTATCGAGGAATTACTTTCTCTTTCTTTTTCTTTTTCTTTTTCTAACTGATCTTTCATGGTTTCTGTTTGGTTGCTATAGATCTTTTAGAGAACAGAACCATAATTGGCTTTTTTTTTTCCACTGTTAGCATCAACAGCTTCTTCAAGTTTCTCATTCCTTCATCATTTACACACATACAATAATAGAGAAGGTTCAACTTTTTAATTTTTTTGAAAAGTGTTTACACGAGGAGGGGATGGGTGAGGTTAGAACCAACGACCGGTAGGTCCAACGGCAGAATAGTTGGCCATTAGGCCGCCACTGAATTCTCATAGATGGTTCAAGATGAAAGTGAGGATTAATGTTATAGGTTGGCAAAGGATTAATGTTTTTTAAAGCAAAATCCTCTCATTGAACCCAAGAAAAAGTGATTCTCCCTCCTGTTATATATATATATATATATTAATTTGTGATAGCATTGTTCTCGAGAAACTGATATATTATAGTTATTGGAGGATAGTGAACTTCATTCAATATTAAAATTCACCATTAATCTAATAATTATAATTCAATTGGATTCTTAAGTGGATGATTATTGGGTATTATTTTTTTCACTCAGGTCACACCCTTGAAGTATATATATGCTCTTTTAGTTAATATTATTTATTTTATCTTTCATAGAATACCAACGAAATCAATGTCCGAGGCCAGCTCATTGTCGTTCTGATCTATTAGTTAAACATAATAATGAATACAAGTCTGTCGTGGATAAGTTTTGTTGTCCTCACCTTAAAATAAAAAAGAGATTTTTGGGGGAAATGATTAAGACATTCTGTTGGGATATCTACAACTTTTTAATCTATATATAAATTGGAATACCGGGGGACGGTAGAGCTCATCAAGGTGTTGTTTTCTTCTACTGTAGTTTTCTTATCAATGTCATATCATATACAAATAACGTTATTTGTGGACTAGCATGCTACTATACAATAGATGAATTTGTGTCCCGGAGGATTTGTACGTGTCCACCTTCCCTCACTTAAAAAAAAAATAAAAATTTGATAGTAAACCTGGTATCTCAAGGGGGAATTGATATGCAAGATATATAAATTTTTCTGAATGTGGTCATTGATGGCTTGATCGTGTATACAGAAACTTTGAATGAATTTTAGTGACTACTACTGTCCCTTTTTCCTCAAGTCCACCCTTGTTAAGGCTTGAGTTATGCTGCCTTCAAATGCTTTCTGCGGACAGGTAATAGCTAGTATACAAATTAACTAGAGACCAATCTCATTGACGAAGATGGTTTCCAAGGATGCAATCCAACGAAGGAAGGCGATGCCTTGTATCAGCAGGGCTTGTAGCAAAGAATCCGATCCAGGATTCCCCATAAGACGACCCCAAACAGAAGATCCACATGATGGAGATCAAGACTATGCTGATCTACAACAAATAAGGCAAAAACTGGTTACAAGGGGATTTGATCCGTCTCAATTTACCATTTCTCCAAAAACCATGATCCATTATGATAATCGAGTTGCATATTCACCAGCATACAACCAGAATCAATGAGCAGAAGGCAACAGATGAATGTGGTTGCATATTCTCTCTCATTCGATTCAGTTAGTTCCCCTCCAAAGCACTTCAATATCTGATCTCCTACGTTGTGATGGTAAGTTGCAAACAGTCTATTTGGCCTTCATTCACCTTCTAGAGGCAAGAGTCCCCGGAGAGGGCGACTTTTACTAAGGCTAAGACTTGAGCTCGTTTTTACCAGCTGTATAGCGGTTTCCTTTCTTAGAGTATTTTGGATTTCATTACAAAGTACAAAAGCAGAAAAAATAAATAAACAAAGAGGAATGTTATTGTATGAAAGCTTATACGTATGTAATTTGGTTTGTAATGCTGAACTTTCCCCTTGATTCTATGTTATTAACTGAGGGAAGTGATTGTGTATTTGCTTCGAATTATAATCGCCACTAGCTGGACTATCGGGAAGTATGTCATGGGCTTAATGGGTTACTTTGGTCTCACGTATTCACATTTTTTTCTTTGATCCCACATATTTAGCATCTCAAACATGGTCTGACTATAGTATCGAAAAATAATTTTTCAATATTATACCTATTAATTTTGTTGAATAAAAACTTGACACGCATGAAATTTTTTAGTGCCAATAATAAGACATCATATTTAACCCACATACCTGGTGGGTTTCATTAAACCCGAGAGTATGGATCCAATTAGGTTATTGAAATTGTTTTCTTATCTTTATTTTTAATAAATTAAAAAAATGACACGTGTAAAAAAAATTATTTTATTATTTCGCTTAAATTTATTATTTCTACTATTAACCAGTATAAATACATCAAAGTAAGATCTATGGCTACTATTTAATTTCTTTGCAGTAACAAATCTACTGTTTGCTATCATAGTCTTACCCTGATAATAGAGACTTATGTTGCAATGTTTATATTTGGGCCTTGGACTTGATTTCAAACTTATATCAGGCCCATTCCCCCTCGGGTCGGCTCTAGGAAAAAAGACAGCAAAGTAATGGTTAGGTTTACTCTTTGTTTCGTAAATTGTCATGAAAGATTTCAATGAGCCAGTTTATACCATGTATCATCATCATGCTTATAGAAGACTGAAATACAATTCAATATATTTTTTCTATTTTTTTTTTTGTAAATCAATCATCTTTAAGTTCAACTAACTCTTCTCATGTATAAGTATCTCCCAATTTAAAAAATTAAGGGGAAAAGAAGGTAATGTATGCACCATTTTAAGAATCGAGTAATTCTATCTTGATTTAATTTATTACAAATAGTGCGACTACTCTCGTTCGGCGTGTTTTCTAAACGAGTGAAGTTTGAACAATTTTTAAAAGTTTAACTCAAATTCGCAAAATTTAACTCATTTATATGTAAACAAATCAAGATACTCTGATTCGGCTCAAGAACTGAACGAGCTTGAATAATTATTTAAACTTGTTTAGAAAAACAAATTTAAAAGGTTTGACTCGATTATCAATCTGAATTGCATATGTTGTATCAACGGTATGTCCCAATGTAAGATCCGTTCTACTTTCATTTCAAAATTTTTAATAGATTATGTGAATAAATTAAATTCGAATAATATTATTATTTAATAAAATAAAATAGTATTATTGTTAAGAACTTAATGGGGGCATTGTGTATATTTAGATGTAATTGAGCGTAGGTACTGGGGTTGACCAAGTTGAACCTATAATGAGTTATCCAAGTCCAATTCCCCGAGGTTTGACCTTTTCAATCTCAATCAATGCTACCTCCCGCCACTTCCCCAACGGTTCAAACGCGTCACATAACCATGCAAATTGCACCCCATTAATGGCTACGTACTGCACCGGTGTAAAATGGCCCAGTCGCTGTCTTGCTGAAGCCTATATAATGAAAGCATTTTGAGTGAAGAAGATCAGGCAAAGTGAGCTGAAGACTTGAGTTTTTAGTCTTTACAGACATGGGTTTCTCTCATAAATGGTGGTGTGTGTCTCTTCTTCTCTTGAGTTATGTCTTCCAGTTGGGTGTGCTTAGTTTTGGAAATGACCAGGTTGAGAAATCTAGATGGGGCGATGACGATTGTGGCCGCTTTGGTGGTCAGAGAGGCTGCGGAGGTGGCCGATTTGGTGGCGGTAGGGGTGGTGGAGGAGGGTTTGGTGGAGGGGGAGGAGCTGGTGGGGGTACTGGGGGAGGACCTGGAGGGGGTGTAGGAGGAGGAGGAGGAGGAGGGTTTGGTGGAGGTGGAGGGGTTGGTGGTGGTAGGGGTGGTGGAGGAGGGTTTGGTGGAGGTGGAGGAGCTGGTGGGGGTGCTGGGGGAGGGCCTGGAGGGGGTGTAGGAGGAGGAGGAGGGTTTGGTGGAGGTGGAGGGGTTGGGGGTGGTTCGGGTCAAGGTGGAGGATTTGGAGCTGGGGGTGGCATCGGTGGGGGAGCTGGAGGAGGAGGAGGGTTTGGTGGAGGTGGAGGGGTTGGGGTTGGGGGCGGTTCGGGTCATGGTGGAGGATTTGGAGCTGGGGGAGGTGTAGGTGGTGGTGCAGGAGGGGGTGGTGGCTTTGGTGGTGGTGGGGGAGGTGGTGTTGGAGGCGGTTCAGGTCATGGTGGTGGGTTTGGAGCTGGGGGAGGTTTAGGTGGTGGTGCAGGAGGAGGCCTTGGAGGTGGGGGAGGTGGAGGCGGCGGCGGTGGTGGGGCTGGTGCTGGGGGTGGTTCTGGTCAAGGGGGAGGTTTTGGAGCTGGAGGTGGTGTTGGAGGGGGCGGAGGTGTAGGTGGAGGTGGAGGAGGCGGTGGTGGCGTTGGGGGAGGCCAAGGTGGTGGGTTTGGTGCTGGAGGTGGTCTAGGAAGTGGAGGTGTTGGAGGTGGAGGAGGAGGTGGTGGTGGTGGTGGGGGCGTAGGTGGTGGGTCTGGTAATGGTGGCGGGTTTGGTGCAGGTGGAGGCGCTGGCGGTGGTCTGGGTGGTGGAGCTGGTGGTGGTCTAGGAGGTGGCCGTGGAGTTGTGGGTGGCGGAGGAGTTGGAATTGGCATTGGCATTGGTATTGGCGTAGGAGTAGGTGGTGGCTCTGGCCAAGGATCCGGCAGTGGAGGAGGTGGACGGTAGCTCTGAGCAAAAGATTGTGTATTTAATATCTACAGAGAAACTTTGAAACAGAATTTGTTATAAATTTACATTCAGTTTGCCAAATGAAGGTGTATTTGCCATTTGTTACTGTGAAAAGCATCAATTTACGTTGCTTAAAATAATAATATGTACAGTTTTCTTTTCTCGTAACGTTGTCATAAGTAATTGCTCAAAGAATAATGTTATATTGATCAAATTTAGAGTTTAATCGACAATTGATTTGAGTTTCTTTGAATGGTGTCTTGTCATTTGAGCTCCAATAAAAATTTCAAATAATTAACTATCATGTCATTTAACCTTAAATTTGATCCTAAAATTTAGTCAATAATCAAAACAAGTCAATTTCGGTGAAACTGTGCTGTGGATATGATCATCTAAACCTGTTGGTGGCCACTGCAACCTTTATGAATGTGTTGGACATTTATATCTCCTAATAATTAGAGGAAATATTGTTGGTAGATTGACTAAATTTTGAGATTAAATTTAAAGTCCAAATGATATAGCGGTTGACTTGAGCTTCTTTGATTGGTGTCATGTCATTTGGGCCCCAATAAAAACTTCAAATAATCAACTGTCATGTCATTTGAACTCTAAATTTAATTCCAAAATTTAATTAGTGTAGCATTACTCTTATTGAATAACCCATCTACCACTCCACAACTTGTCTCTCTTCTTTTTTTTTTTAACAGGTGTCTCTCATCTTAGTGTGTCAAAAACTCATCAACAAAACAACTTTGAATTTTATTTTTTCTTCTTTCAACGGTGGGGTATTCGGGTTAATTTACACGTACTTTAATTAATTTTTTCTTTGAACTAATCAAAGACAAATCACTCAAGTCGGGACTAAAGTATTCATGATGTATAAATCTCTAATATCATGATCTCAACTTAAAAAATAAAGGGAAAATTTTCGTCACACTTCTTATAGTTTATCATATATTCAATGACACCCCCTCTATTTTTTGAATTTGCATGGACACCCTATGTCAAATTAAAGATGTTAATTATAATGCAATTTTTAATAAATTGCCCAATATATATTTGAGGAAAAACTTCATTCACACTCCCTCTAGATAGATATATCTTCGATGGGACCTCCTCTATTTTCTAAATTGTTTTATGTATTAAAATTCAAATCGACTAAAATTTGATTCGAATTAATTAAAATTTATTTTTTACATATTAAAATTTGAATTGATTAAAAAATATTTTTTATATATATTAAATTTTGAGGCTATTAAAATTTATATTTTTTATGTATCAAAATTCGAGCCGATTAAAATTCAATGTGAGTTGATTAAAATTTGCTTAAAAAATAAATTTTAACCAACTTGAATCGAATTTTAATTGATACAAATTTTAATAAATAACAAAATATAAATTTTAATCGACTAGAAGATAATTTTAATCGGCATTAACAGTTTAGGTAGAGCTCAACTCAGCTCAATTTTTAATACATAAAAAAATTAAAATTTAATTAGTTTGAATTGAATTTTAATATGCTTAAATTTTAATATATAAAAAATATGTTTTAATCAACTTAAATTTTAATATGTAAAAAAATAAATTTTAATCAGTTCAAATTTTATGCAGAAAGTATTATTTGAGGTTTATGTAGGATTATTTTTGGTATTTTATTTTATTTTATTTTTTGTTATAAATTGTGGTTTAATAATAGGGGTGTCAGTGATATTTAAATATAAACTATAAGGAGTGTCAGCGATATTTTTAATAATAAATGATATATCCTTGAAAAAATAATAAACTAGAAGGGGTGCGGTTAAAATGTTCCCCAAAAAAAATTATACAAATTAATGGTTTGTCCAATACAAATCATATCCATTGTTGGCTATGGGAGATGTCACAACAGATGAACCCATATCAATTCTCCCTATTTTTGGTCTATTTAGAGGAATAAAAATGAAATGCCCTGTTCATAATTTGAAGAGGGAACCTGCATCATTAAATTATAAATCAGCTAAATATATTGCACAGTATGAACTAACGGTGGATTCCAGTGTCTCGGTATCAGCAATAGCAGATGTCTCCTCTACGTGGTTCCCCCCAAAATATAAGCTCTTTAAAGATTAATTTTGATGGAGAGTCGTGTTCGAGGTAGAAGGAGCGGTTGGAGTAGGTGTGGTAATAAGAGATGAATGTGGTATTTTTGTTGTTGGCTTTTCTAGGAAAGTCCTCTCCCCTTGTGTGGCACAAACGACATAAATTTTAGTCGATAAGGAGGCTATCTGCTTTGTTGTGCAACAAGGTTGTGATGGAATTGTCTTGGAAAGGGATTCAAGTAACGTGATGAAGATGCTCACGGATGTCGCCAATGAATTGGATCCCTTGGGCTCTGTTTTAGCAGATATCAAGGTTAGTCTACATACTATTCATTATTATTATGTATCTACAGTTAGAATAACAGATAATAAAGTAGCTCATAAAGCTAGGTAGACATACTATTAATGTTGATTGTGTGGCTGTATGGGAGGAGGAGGCACTATCTATCATTGTGCCCCTCCTCCTCTCGGATATTCCTATGTAATCAAAAATTTATTGTTTCTATTAAAAAAAGTAAAAATTGGAAGTAAGTCTCTTTAGATGTACTTGTTTGGAGATAAGTCCTGCAAGGGAACTTATAAGGGGCTAAGTCCATGTTTAAAATTATATGTAATGATTTAAATCAATTTTTTTATCTCAAAAATACCCTTCCTTAAAAAAAAGTTAATATTTTCTCTCTCATATCTATCTATATCCATATATAGGTTAAAAGTTTGACTAACATTAAAATTTGTCCTCTCTCTTATATATATTTATTTAAATTACTATGAATTTGAATATTAAAATTCAAACTCATGTTACTATTTTTTTATTATGTTATTATTTATGTTACTATTTTTGTTAAGTATGTTACTGTTCATGTATTATTATTTTTGAGCATATTACTACTATTATTTTTCTAAATATTAATATTCAATGTTACTATTTTTTTTAATATTACTATTTTTTGTATTTGAATGATACTATTTTTTACGTTTGAATTTGAGAGAAATAATTATTGTTAAGTATGTTACAGTTTTTGTTAAGTATGTTATTATTTTTGTTGAACATGTTAATATTTTTGTTGAACATGTTATTGTTGTTATTTTTAAAAAATATTAATATTAAATATTTTAAATTTTTTTTGTGTTTAAATGTTACTATTTGTTTGTGTTTAAATGTATTAATTTTTGTGTCAAAATGATAATTTTTTATTTATTTGAATGTTACTATTTTTTATTTTTAATGTTACTATATATATATATATATAGATAAGAGAGAGGGAAAATTTTAATGTTAGTTAAACTCTTAACTTATATATAGATATAGATAGATATGAAAAAGAATAAATTTTAATGTTAATCAAACTCTTAAAATTTAAGAATTTTTAATTTTTACTTTTACTTTACTTCTAAAGGGAATGGATAGTATGATAAAATTGATAAAAAATGAACTTCATAACAAATAAGTTTCTTTAACGGACTTAAGTTAAAATAAGTTTATATAGGGGGATCGGGCTCCAAATTTTCCTACAAAAAAATATACGAATCATATCCGGGATATAAAAGGAATTAATGGGCATTTGGTTGAATCCAACTAAAACAAAGGCCCAATGTCTTGTAGTATTGGGCCACGTCGAGGGCTTGAAGTCGGGATCGTCCAAAATTGAATGCCTAGTAACTTACGATACATTAAAGTGGTATATAAGTACTTTCCTGGTTAATATCTGATGATTCATCCATTAAGAATAAAAATGGAATAAAAAATATCAAGGAGATCTAAATCCTCCAATTATGGTTCATCACCACCTCTTTATATTTACTTAAAACGTGATATGTATAAAATATTTTTATTTTTGTTGATACCGAAAAATATACGAAAGACAATGAGATTTTAAAAGACAACAAGTAATACAAAAACTATCAGAAGAGTCAGAAAATAATTTTTACCATTAAATCATACCTTGAACAATAAGTCACACCAAATATTATCTAAATATTTTCTAAATATTCCCCTAATATCCTATTATAAAAGACGATGCTCACTGTGTAAAAAAGGGCATGAAATAAGAAAAAAAAAACCCTATTATACTATGTTTATTCAAAAAAAATAGTATACGATAAAGGACCAAGGGTCTCCATTATAGTGGATTATTCAAGTTTTTAAGTTGATGAACTACTTTATTTTCTTGTGTATTCTCATTTATTTTTACACACCACACTCACCAAGAACTCATCCAGTTCTCCACCTCATGCCTCTTAGTTTTTTATCCCATCAATTTTATTATTTTCACAATCAATATTTATAATTTTATCGAATCAAAATCTACACATACACCAAAGAGTATAACTAAAGTGCGTACCTTAAGTAAAATTTTTGGCTCCACCCCTGCTAACGGAAGAGGGATTGAGAAAATCCAACACGGTCCATCATGTCACGGATTGCTTTATATTTCTCCAAAACGACAGCCTATTTATTACCCAATGACTCTTAATTCCTACATCATAACAAGTGGATCATATAAATTTGTTAAAGAAATGTCTGAAATTTACCACAACCTATGCGAAGGATTTCCATAGCATGTCAATAACCATTTATGTATTAATAATACATATGAAAGTGATAGCGTGGACACTATAAAATACATTATAAAACATATAGTATGTGTATATACATACGAAAAGGGTATAAATTTTTAGGAATATTTGAGGGTGGGCCGGTGACCAACCTAGATTTCTCCCATGTATATACCTCAAGGTATTGCTCTATTTATGAATGAATAATGTTATTAACATCTAATTTATTGACGTAATTTATTATAAATATTAAATTTGATATTGATCTAATGATTATAATAAAATTATATCATTAAATGAATAAATTAGATAAAATTTATAATTTTAAATAGCATTATTCTAAATACATTGATAATGACCAGAGAAATAGTACTAATAGGCAGGGTTGTCAATTCTATACGGTCTCTATGCCCCGTATAAAACTGACTCGCTGTTATTGAGTTTGGATTTAAACTCAATCGGTTGGATCGTAAATGATTCGATTCTTCGGCACCGTTAACTAAACGGGATAATACGAATTCGATTAAATACAATATAAACGCAGTTATATGTAATTTATACTCGTAACAATTCTAAATCAGTCGGGTTGTAAATTAGATGAAATCATCAATGCGAGACGATACAATACGACGATGGTCATCACATCCGACGGCCGACAGAATATCATACGAAGTTCTCAGTGGACCCACAAAGAGTGTTGATAAATCGCCAGAGGCTTACCGTGTTGGAAATGCCCACCGAAGTCCACCACCACCATTAGATATAAGAGCTTTCCCGCCCTCAAACTTTCTCACTCTGCACTACCCACAATCGCATCCCTACATTGGAAGATGCGACTCTGAAGACTCTGGAATTTGAAGCGAAACCTCCAGAAACCTTAATTCTTGAATCGTTTATCTCTCCGATTCACAACGATGAAGCTTCGGCCTCTCAGTTCTCGGTCTTCGATCGATGGTACGGTTCCAGACTCTGCTATGCTTACTTTGTTTTTCCATTTTTGCCCCTGATTTTTGATCGTTTCTGCTCGATGAACAGTTTTTCCTTTTTGTGTAACGAATCTGTGTTTGGTTACTTAGAAAATGTGGGTAAAGGAAAAAAAATTAGATTTGAGTCTGAGGTCCTGTTTGGGAACCGAGAAAACTGCCACTTCGACTCGATTTATCCCGTAGTACAGAACATGAGCTTTAGAATTTTATTTTCTCTTTTTGTGTATCTCGAAAACCAATCCTGGTCTCTTTTGTTGGTGTATATGTTTGTATTTCGTTGTTAATTTATACTTGTGCTTTATATTAATACCGACGTACTATTTCAAAGCAGACAATAATAACCGAGTCATAGAGATCTCGGATGAAGATGAAGATCATGTAGGATCTTTGGATTCCGATTATCAAGATGAAGTTGATAAAGGTATACCTTTCCCTCTGTGTGTGTGTGCCACTAGATTTTCCGTGATTTAGTCAAAGGGCTTATTTTGGAATCTCGTGAATTGGGATACATTGCTAAATAATGTCAATTTGGAGAGAAATGGTGTAGTTGTCTTGAGTGACGGGTCTTATGTAGTTAACTTGAATTGAATTTTTGTTAATGTAGGTGAAAATTCTTTGGATGCAACGAAAGAGTATGAAGGGGGAGAGTGTTTGGATTTAAATCTTCAACCAGAAGCTGAGATTGAATTCATTGATGATGACGGGATTGATAGTGATTTTGATATTGAGCATGAGGTGGCAAAATTGAGGAAAGTATGGTCAAAGAAGAATAGAGGACAGCCGAGTCGCAATCGAGAGGAAGAGGAAGAGGAAGAGGAAGAGGAAGAGATTGTGGATGCGATCAATGAGGAAGAGCAAGTGGTTCATGAGCTGGAGTTTGATAGGAACAAGAATAAGAAGAGGAAGAGGAAGGCGAAAAAAAAGGGTAAGCCGATATTGATGTGGGAAGTTTGGGAAGAAGAGAATGAGACATGGGTCAGTGAGAATATCGTACAAGATATTGAATTGGATAATCAGCATGAACTAGTGGTTGAAACTGCTGAGCCAACTTCGGATTTGATTATGCCATTGTTGAGGTACCAGAAGGAATGGTTAGCTTGGGCGCTGAAGCAGGAAGAGTCTGCTGCTAAAGGGGGTATTCTAGCGGATGAGATGGGGATGGGGAAGACTGTCCAAGCAATTGCACTGGTTCTTGCTAAAAGAGAATTACTCCGAGCAACTTGTGGACCTAGTGGACTTTCAACCTTGCCCAGTACCAGTTCTTCTACAGGGTTGCCGGAAATTAAGGCCACCCTTGTGATTTGTCCCTTGGTTGCTGTGATTCAATGGGTCGGTGAGATTGATCGGTTCACGTCAAAAGGAAGCAACAAAGTGCTGCTTTACCATGGAGCCAAGAGAGGGAAAAGTCTTCATGAATTCTCAGAATATGATTTTGTCATAACTACATACTCGACAGTTGAGGCTGAATACAGGAGAAATGTGATGCCCCCTAAACAGAAATGCCAATGGTGTGGAAAGTTATATCATGAGCATAGGATGTCTGTTCACCTGAAATACTATTGTGGGCCTGATGCTATTAGAACTGATAAGCAGTCAAAGCAGCAGAGGAAGGGGCAGAAACTTGGAGTTAAAATATCAATGCAGAAAACATCTGCCAAAGGCAAGGCCAGTGAATCAGTGGGTGGTAAAAGGAAGGGAGCTGGCAAGAAGTCCCTGAAGCATCGTAGTGAGGAAAAGGTTTTGGACATTGGTTCACCCATTGAGAATTTGGCAGGAGAGGAGCAAACCTTGTCTGGAAGTAAATCTATTTTGCACTCTGTGAAATGGAATCGTATCATTTTGGATGAAGTAAGCTTTGTTGTTATTCTGCTTTTTTGGTTATTATTCTTGTTTTGTTGGTTTTTTTTTTGCACTATTAGCTATCCATCTGGTTACAAATCCATGGAAAATAGATGGAATTTGAGAAACTAATCAGGTTTCTTATGGACAAACAAGTACTCTCCTCTAGACACACAAAATCAGTAGCATGGTCATCAAACATGGATCAATGCTTGTCTTTTCTGTTATATATTTTAAGACAATCTTCTTTCCCTAGATATTTATCGAAAGAAAAATATTTTCCCTAAATACCCAAAATTAAAGTAAAAAGAACCATTTTCTTGATCTAGGTGGCAGCTTTTAGACATGTCATCCAGTATAATGTTGTGAGAGGCAACTACAGAAAGCATCATTCTATGTGGTGGGGATGTGGTAATGAACCTGCTAATAAACAGAGGTTTTCTTATTGAATATCTTTGTCATTGGAAACCTTGTGTATAGTCTTGATAGGTGGGGATATCTGTGTCATTTCAAACCTTTTGGAACAACCTATCTAATTCTTACTCTTTAATGCTTGTATTTTGGTTCAATGGCTTCCCTTTGAAATTGTCTGAGAATTTGACAATTAATTTATGATAGATGTACAAGAAAATTAATTCTCATATTGGAAAATTTTATCAACCAAGATAAAGATTACCGTTAATTTTTCAACTAAAACTAATTGTAAGATGAAATCTTTTCATGTTCAATCTCGTGAACCTTTTAAGTTTTATCTGAAAGAGTCCACTTTAAGCCTTTAACCAGGTTGGCTTTGTGAACAAGATTAATGTACACTTTCTATTTGAAACTTTAAGTTGGTCAGATGATGATTCTCTGTATTTGATTGAGAAATAAAATACTCTCTCTCTGGGTTAACTTTTTGTGCGATAGCCTTGAAAGGTGGAGTTTACACCTGCATTATGTTTAATGGTATAAGGCCACTGTCATTATTCGATAGTTGTTATCCTAAGTTTATTCTTTCCGCTATTACCAAACAATGATTGCACTTTCTATTTCTTACCTTGCTTGTTTGCTTGCTGAGCTCATCTTCAATGTCCTATAACAGTTATTTTTAATATAGGCTCATTATATAAAAGATAGACGATGTAACACAACAAAGGCAGTTCTTTGTTTAGAATCTTCATATAAATGGGCTTTAAGTGGCACTCCCCTTCAGAATCGTGTTGGAGAACTTTACTCACTTGTAAGTGTTTCATGCATTTAGTGAATTATCTTTACTTCATTTCTCAATCTAATATCATATGGTTTTATGTGCACAGGTACGCTTCCTACAGATAATTCCATACTCATTTTACTTTTGCAAGGATTGTGATTGCAGAGCACTTGATTATAGGTATTGTGGCACTTTGCTTATGATCGTTGTGTCTATTTGTAGTTGCATAGTTGGAAGTGTCTTAAACCCTCCGTACTTGGTTGATATTATAAGGTTCATGGTGCTGTGAGTTAAGTGTGGTATAATTTTGTTGGAGTTTGTTGAATTAATGAGGCGTGTGTGTCTGAGGGGTGATTGTTTGGTACTTGCATCCCACAGAAAATATAGAAAGGCACTTTATTCAATGGATTAATGTAAATTGTCAAAGATGCATTAACAACTTTCTGTTACTATAAAAACAATGCTATGGGGACAGCTCTTGGGCTTTATCCCTTCATTGTGTTTAATGCATGCTTTAAGCTAAATCTCCATGATTTATCCCTCTTTCCCCATGCAAAATTTTTTGTGGCACACTTTATCTTACCCTTTTTGCCCGTAACCTCCCTTATGTTTAAAATGACCATGTAACCCTCACATGATTTGTGGACTTAACTGAACTGCTATAATAAAATGACCATAATGCCTATGATAACCCAGTTATTAATTTGAAAGATAACTATGATTTTATGTGATTTGAAATATAGTATTGAAGTTTACTTTTAAAAATTTTAAATAAGTAAACGGACCTCAGAAGTAAATTTGTTTGCAGAAAACGAGTCAAATGACTATAAGTTAAATTTTGTGTTGGAATAATACTAAATATTGAAAGAGTCAATATATATATATACACACACACACACACAAGAAAAAGTGACAAATGTCATATTTTGAATGGCTATTGAACAAGTGTCACATTGGGAATAAGAGGTTATACATATGGGTAACATGTGAATTGGTTTTAAAAAAAGGAAAAGAAAAGAAAAGAGAGAATCATGGAAAAATGGACAAATGTCTATATGATGTCACCATGGTGACATAAGAAACTTGGGGCCAAGGTAATTTTTTTGGCTATAAGTAGCTCAAGTCATTAGTAGGCAAACCATGAGGAAGGAAGGAATAAAAGAGAAAAGAAGGAAGAATCGGGAAAAAGAAAGAAAAAAGAAATAGCGAGGCTTTGGGTTCAAAATGAGATAGTGATTTTAGTCTTGAATTTTATGAAATTGGGATATGTAGTTCTTAATATAGTGGGGATCCAATTTATCGGAATCCTTGGTGATTTGATGTACGGGGTAGTATACAATATGCTCCTGTCTTTAAATTTTTTTATAAAGAGTGTCCTATTGTTTATCTTAACATTCGTACTCCTATTCATTATTTTGATTGATATGAAATCTTATGTGTTTTGTCGATTTGACCTAAATTTTTTTGCTGAATATTTTGAGATTGATTGATATGTATATATATATATATACACGCGAAGTGTTTGGGGCATAGCTTGTGACTTATGATTGTTGCCCTGTGTGGTGTGATTGTTCGGTTTGATTATGGCCCTACGGGGTGTGATCGTTCGATATAAGTATGAATTTGTATGTTTAAGTGTCACTTGTCATGTCATCAAGATGACCTGAGTATGAGGTTATATTTGATAACAATTGAACTATATGGTATGTCTAATTTGATTGATGATTTTATTGTTCATGTTTATTACATCTGAGTTATTTGGTATTTGATCATTCGTATATTTTTATCGTTGAGCATATTGTTTCTTGCCGTATTGTATATTTCGTTGCTTTTATTATTTTTGAGGATGATGTGGAAAAAAAGGACCAGTGTTGATATTTGAGGAATTGAAGATGGATGAATCTTGATATAATTTTAAAAAAATTAAAATTGGAAGTTTTATTGGTTTGGAGATCATATTTATAATTATAATTTTTATTGAGGTAATTAGAGCTCTATCTCTTGTATTTGAGATATTTTGTAGAATTTTATCGTTTATCAAGTAATGCATCGCGGAAACTGGGGCGTTACAATACCCATCTCTCTCCTTGGTCTTCTATGGCAGACCTATCCCTTCTCCAACCATCTCCAATTGCTTGCCATTGCATTAAATAATTGTCATTGCCTTGAAATTGGAAAGAGGCCACGGGTCTAGCAATTTGAAATCCAAAGCAAAGATAGTTTGGAAGGGATTTTACAAAGAAGTTTGGAAAACTTCTGGTTCATGAGAATTTGTACAATAATGATCTTGGTGGGTGACTGAAACATGGGTGAAGCTATTTGTACATCTCGATTTCTATATTCGTGGGAAAACTTTACAAAAATTTTCAAATAGTCTGTAAATTTTTTGACAAAAAAAAACTGATTTCGAATTATTATAGAAAATTCATGATAGATTTTTTTTTAGGGGCAAAAGTCTAGTGTGAATGTGCTGCCTCTTCAATAACTAATATGTGAAACTATGTCGCTTCAATTACTTCCCTTCCCTTAGTGTAATGCCCTTTGGCCAATTATGCCTAGCACTTGATTGCCCAAAAACAAAGTTATCAAGCGAGAGAACATTTGTCACAAGATTGAATGCACAAAACATGGGGATATTTTGAAGGGAAAAAGAGGGCAAGAAATTGAGTTGGTAGTGGGGAGGTTACTGGGTGTTTGGTATGACGATGTAGAGGGTAGATATGTGGGTTGGTGGTCCGAATTCAAGGTGTGGACCAGAGATTCACTTATCAATGGTGGTGACTATGGGTGTTGGTTGGGGGATCGCCGATGATGGTGTTGGACGATTGGAGGAGGAGGTGAATCGCAGATGATGGTTGTAGTTGCAAAAGTTGACTTGAATGAGGAGTTATTGGNACTTGTCATGTCATCAAGATGACCTGAGTATGAGGTTATATTTGATAACAATTGAACTATATGGTATGTCTAATTTGATTGATGATTTTATTGTTCATGTTTATTACATCTGAGTTATTTGGTATTTGATCATTCGTATATTTTTATCGTTGAGCATATTGTTTCTTGCCGTATTGTATATTTCGTTGCTTTTATTATTTTTGAGGATGATGTGGAAAAAAAGGACCAGTGTTGATATTTGAGGAATTGAAGATGGATGAATCTTGATATAATTTTAAAAAAATTAAAATTGGAAGTTTTATTGGTTTGGAGATCATATTTATAATTATAATTTTTATTGAGGTAATTAGAGCTCTATCTCTTGTATTTGAGATATTTTGTAGAATTTTATCGTTTATCAAGTAATGCATCGCGGAAACTGGGGCGTTACAATACCCATCTCTCTCCTTGGTCTTCTATGGCAGACCTATCCCTTCTCCAACCATCTCCAATTGCTTGCCATTGCATTAAATAATTGTCATTGCCTTGAAATTGGAAAGAGGCCACGGGTCTAGCAATTTGAAATCCAAAGCAAAGATAGTTTGGAAGGGATTTTACAAAGAAGTTTGGAAAACTTCTGGTTCATGAGAATTTGTACAATAATGATCTTGGTGGGTGACTGAAACATGGGTGAAGCTATTTGTACATCTCGATTTCTATATTCGTGGGAAAACTTTACAAAAATTTTCAAATAGTCTGTAAATTTTTTGACAAAAAAAAACTGATTTCGAATTATTATAGAAAATTCATGATAGATTTTTTTTTAGGGGCAAAAGTCTAGTGTGAATGTGCTGCCTCTTCAATAACTAATATGTGAAACTATGTCGCTTCAATTACTTCCCTTCCCTTAGTGTAATGCCCTTTGGCCAATTATGCCTAGCACTTGATTGCCCAAAAACAAAGTTATCAAGCGAGAGAACATTTGTCACAAGATTGAATGCACAAAACATGGGGATATTTTGAAGGGAAAAAGAGGGCAAGAAATTGAGTTGGTAGTGGGGAGGTTACTGGGTGTTTGGTATGACGATGTAGAGGGTAGATATGTGGGTTGGTGGTCCGAATTCAAGGTGTGGACCAGAGATTCACTTATCAATGGTGGTGACTATGGGTGTTGGTTGGGGGATCGCCGATGATGGTGTTGGACGATTGGAGGAGGAGGTGAATCGCAGATGATGGTTGTAGTTGCAAAAGTTGACTTGAATGAGGAGTTATTGGACGGTAGGTGTGTGTGTGTGTGAGAGAGAGAGAGAGAGAGAGAGAGAGAGAGAGAGAGAGATTTTGGTGAAAAAGAGGTAGGTATTGTGGCAATGGAGAGAAAAAAGTGAGGAGTAAAGATAGTGAGCGTATGTTTGTCTTTTTAAATGACAATTTCCATTTTCCTTCTTGTATGGTGCGCATGATTCACGTTTTTTGTTAAAATGGATGGAAAATGTATCGGCATAATTTTGGTCCACAAAACAAATGAGGGTTATTTGGTTATTTTAAAATGTTAAAAGGGGTTATGGCCTATGGGGAAACTACAAGGGAGTAAAATGAAGTTTGACCAATTTTTTTCGATGGAAAATTTTACAACCAAGTTTTCCTTGAGGTAACAAAATTCATTCCTTATAACTTGAGAACTTTACTGTGTATTTGTCTTGGATTTTTCCTTTTTAAGTGTCTCCTAGTTCCACATTTTTTATGCAAAAGAAGAAATAATTTATAGTTGCCAAACTGGCTTATGTATAGTTATCATGTCAGTTATGTAAGCTGTTTGATCTAATCCAGGGGTGGAGCCAGGATTTGTGTAGTGGGGGTAGAGTTGGTAGACTATAGCTCGTAATGGATTAAGAACATAATGCTGACTATATCAAAAACATATTGATTTTTCTATATTGAAAATTCACTTGAAACAATTTTTTAAAAATGTAATACATAAAAGTCAAATTTTAAATAAGGCTCCAATTAAATAGAACAAATTTAATTGTAACAATTTGGAAAGAGAATTCAATACATCACAAAACACACAAACTTGAATTTTTAAAAAGTCAACAAAAAGCAATTTAATCATTCACTAGTCAATTTTGGAATTCAAATATAGAATTGTAGTTTCATATGAAATCTATGGCAACCATGACAATCATTGGAGCCTCCTAAAAAGATCTACTAAATTTGTCAAGTTGTTCCAAAGAATCAAAACACCTAGTTATTACTGGAATTCCTTGTTGACTCTTTGTGAAATACTCGTTTGGCTGAGGGCTTCCAAACACATGATAAGCTAAACCGGTGTTGATGAATAACCAACCCGCAGTGAATAGGGAAGGTATAGTAATGCTATGTTGATAATATCAGCAAAAGAACAGTCTCATGTGCTTGCAGACATGTTGAGCTCCACATATTCTTGTACAGTCAAAGGGGGATTGATTCCGCGAAAGAGAATATCAAGAAATAGAAATTCACTGAAATTCATTTTTTGTCGGATCATCAATATAGTACCGAGGGCATCTTTAGAGTATACTGAATTAGTAATTTAGTATAGCTATCCTTCTTCCACACAACAATGGAATTTCAATTAGTGTCCAAAGGAAGTGCCAAATAATTCTTTCTTCTATTTCTTCTTGTTGTTGTAAAATGATGCCCCATTCAATAGAAAATTATTTAAACTAAAGGCTAAAAAGGCACTCTTTGCCGCCTATTAAGAGAATGGGTCTGTTCAAGTGGCCCGCCTTTATTTATCCATTCCTTCCTCACACAACCCAATAGAAATGATTTCAATGCCCCTCTTTGAATAAGAAGTAGAATGCACCATCACTTACAATCCTTTCCTTTGCCGGGGACTTCCATGAAATGAAAACGGGCAGCATCGTCATATGTTCTACTTTTATTTGTTGCCCTCCTTTATACCCCAGAGTACTCCTATGGCCGATTTGTCACCCAACCTACTTAAACAACCTAAAGGCTTGACCTTGTCCCATTTGGAGAATGACTCCATATGGCAAGACTTAGTTAGTTATTATCGCAGTTCAGATAAGATTTGGACCACCACTTCTTTGAAAACATGATTCTTGCTCTCTCTCCTCCCCCGTTTTAGCTCGTCCATTCGTTGGGTAATCCCTTGCTCTCACGTTCAAGTGTTTGATTGTGATGTTAGTGATATTTTAGCATATTCTTGTCACCTTTGAGCCCACACACAATACATGACCAACACTGAGCACCCCAACAGCGAGCAGGTTAGCCAAGCAACAACTTCTTCCTGAGAATCCATACATCTCTTATTAATGTATGGACTGCTATCTCTCGAGCACAGGTTTAGGTTCAGCCTTAATGGAAATATCAAATGGAGTATCTAGCAATGCATCGTCATAGACCTAGAAGTACGAGATCACCCCTTTCATTTTGGGGTGATGGAGGGATTGTACCATTGGAGCTGTTTTTATCATGCTTTTCCAGGAGATTCTGCTGTTCATGGGTTCTCTCAGAATTTTTTATTTCTTAGATCCTAATTTTTGACGCTACCGGTTAAACTTTAATTTTGTTCATGTTTAGGATTTGGAAGTTCAAACTCTAATTTTAAAGTTAAGATGTCAAATTTCAAGCCCGATTTCTGTTTTATTTAAAAAATAGAAGAGGACATGAAAGGGAAGGGAAGAAAGAGAGTATTAGTCGAGAGAGCAAAGTTAAAGAGAATGCCCAAATGATAATCATCAAACCTCACTGTGACTTCGTAAATATATTTTGAGCGATGATTGGTAATTTTTTTCCCTCACTAGATATGGTATAGCATTATTCTAACTGCAATTCTTACTTGAGAAAAAACAATTACAATTCTCTGACTTATTTTTTGGGATCACATTCACATCACTTGACAGATCATTAAGTACTTTTAGGTCTCAAAAGTATTATTCAAATACAAAAATAACCATAAATTTATAAATTTTATGTGGGGACAAATTCTGAAGAAATATTAAAATTTGGAAAATACCAAAAATACCCCAAAATTTTTCAATATTGCATTGGGGGCAGCTGCCCCCACTGCCCTCTTTGTAAATCTGCCTCATCCCCACCTTTTCTATTTCCTTTTTTGAAAAACTCCCTACTGTTATTTTTGCATTTCTATCTTTACTATTTTATAGTTGAATCTCAAAATCTTCTTGTTAATTTCGTCTTTCATAACTTTGTTCAATAACAGTTCCTCAACTGATTGCGCACACTGTCCTCACAAATCTGTGAGACACTTCTGCTGGTGGAACAAAGTGAGTTTTGCAATTTAGTACTAAACTTGTTGTTGGTGTAATTGCTGTCATTGTTATTTTCCTTATACTCCATTTGTACTGATATATCAAGGCTTTATTGTGTTTGTCTATGAAATCGATATAAGTATGTTGCTAAACCAATTCAAGCTCATGGCAATGTTGGTGACGGTAAAAGAGCCATGATTTTGCTGAAGAACAAAATTTTGAAAAGCATAGTGTTAAGGCGGACTAAAAAGGGCAGGGCTGCAGATCTTGCACTTCCTCCTAGAATTGTAAGATATTATGCTTAACTACTGCCGCAAGACATTTATCTTTATGCTTAATTTCTTGATATATTTCTTTAATGTATTATCTGTTATGTAATTTCTTCAGATGAAATTGAGACGGGATTTATTGGATGTTAAGGAGGAAGACTATTACACATCTTTGTACAATGAAAGTCAGTCACAATTCAATACGTATGCCAGATAACTCCTCTATTCTTTTATAACTCATTAAATAAGAGCTTTGTTTTTGGTGTGGATCAATTAGATAGCTGTTGTTACATCCAAAATCTGTGGTTTGATTACGAAGAGAGGATTGGGATTGTCAATAAACTTCTCAACATCTTTGACCAGTGACAGAATAATTCAATTATGGGTAAATTGCATCAATGGTCTATGAGGTTTACCATTTGTTGCGTTTTTGTCCTTAGAATTGCAATTTATTTCAATTTCATCCTCAATGTTCACAGAATAAAACAATGTAGTTTACAAAAGTGGACCACCAACTTCCATAGGTACCCGTTGGAGAGTTTTTTCTGTTATATGCATTGATTAACGGTTATTTCATGGTTTATTTGGTAATCACAGCAAGTTCTATCTGGCTGAAGGGACCTATTAATGCCTTAGCCTCCCAAGTCATTTCCGAGTTGTTTTGTTCTCTTGTTGGCACTTGAGAAGTTGAAAAAATGACTCTGACCTTTACTACTGTCTATATTCTTTTCAAATCTTCCAATAGTTCTGATGTAGATCGTAATAGCTCTGATACCAAATTGATGTAAATCGTATTAGGGTAGAATTAGGGGATGAGAAGGGAAGAAGAAAGGGATGAGAAAAGAAGAAGAAGGGGATGCGAATAGAGAGAGAATGTTAGGAAGAAGATTCAATATCAATAATCAATAATCAATAATCAAAGTCTATCAAAACAAATACCATATTCCCTATATATATAGGGAGAGCACAACTCCTAAAAGAATTCTAAAAGAAATAAATAGTCATAATGACAACTAAACCCTTAAAAGTTAAAAGAAAATACTTAAAAGATAAATACTAAATTACTCTCATAATTAATCTAAAATATTTATCCAATTCATATACGATCCCCGTCAAGTTCTCTTCGATAAATGAATGTTAAGTAAGTGAAATGATTTCAGATGTTTCTTTGGATTTTGTGTTGCTAAATTTTGGCTTTGTGATTTGTACTTACCCTCAATGGTTTCTTTTCTTTTTCTTCAGCCTGGTCAGTATACAATGTGATTTCTTATGTGCAGATATATTGAAGCTGGAACTTTGATGAATAATTATGCTCATATATTTGACCTTCTGACACGCCTGCGGCAGGTGAAGTATCGTTTGACTTACATCTCTAGTATATATTGATGTCAATATCCTGACAAACTGTGATGGTCTAAGCATATGATTAATTAATTATCTATTGGTTCATAAAAACAAGCAAGAAATGGAAGTATCTTGCCAGTGGCTTCTTATTGAATTTAGAAGCTAGCGCCTAGCGGTGTGCTCATTCTCATTGCATTTGAGTGGGCAATTTGGAATGGTTGAACTAAATCATAAACCATCATAGAGTTGATATCAACCCTTTGAGAGTGTTTTTTTCCTTTTCGAATGTACTGAGATGGGAAGATAGCAAGAAAAGAAATAGTTTTTATTTTGTACTGCATTAGATTGACATGCTTCTATTTCATGAGACATTGGGTTGATATACCAATCCAGTGTGCCAATCTCATATTATTATCTGTTGTGACACCACAGGCAGTTGACCATCCTTACCTCGTCGTATATTCTAGTTCTTCCATGGCAAGAAATGGAATTGGGGTCGATACTAGTGATGGTGAACCAGTATGTAGCTTATGTCATGACCCAGTAGAAGATCCTGTGGTAAGTTACTAGTTGTTTTAAAATTTTTGATTGTTCTGCCTTTATCGCTGATAGTGAGGGTCTCGTTTAGTTCTTCTTTTCCCAGAATGCCGCCAATTTGAATTCTCTTTGACGACCAAAGTAGTGATATCGATAATTTATATTCAGTATATGTTTGAAGTGCTTATTATATTATCCTTCAAGAAGTGCTAATTATATTTTATATTTTACTATCCCGATGACAAAGGCAATGGGCAGAGTTTCCATCTGTTGGTGACCTGGTTCTTGAGTTATTGAAAGTCTTCTAACCACCTTTGGATTCTTGAAGGAAGGGCATTTTCAAGTGTGAATGGACAGTTGTGTTTCATTTTGCACACCTATTAAGGAAACTGTCTGATTGGTACATGCTATTTGTTTCATTGTTAGGTATCTTTAAATGTGTCGGGTAATTGAGGGGTACAGATTTTAACATGTTGAAGTTTTAAATGTTTAGAAATGAGTATATTGCTAATGCAGAATGCATGGATGGAGGTACACTTTGTGCAGAATTGGAAAATAGAATCGGCCTATATGAAATGTGGAAAGATTTTGAGCTGCTTTACAAAATTGACCCTTCTGGAATGCTCCAAAAATATTGGGGAATAGGGTTAATACTTTTTATTTCTCACTGGTGCATGGAGTCCGTGTTCAAACATAACAAGTTGGATGCATAGTCCCTAAGTTGATTATGAACACAATTTTTTTTTTTTGCTTTTGCTGATTGAAAAAATGAATGATCAAATTAATGGCATCACTTCATGTTCTTTATCTTTAAGTGTTGGCAATTTATTGGGTAGCATCCAAGGAACAAAATTTTATTTCGAAATAGTCGAAACATTTGAAACGTTTGAGTTTCTAAGGAGACTGAAATAAATCAGTGATGGAATCGAAATTCTAATATTTCGAGGTGTTCCATAATATTTCGAAATGTTTTGTTTTATTTAAAAGCATTTGCACAATTGTTTCAAGATATTTCATGAAATTTTGGTATGTCTCAACTAATGTTTTGAAAAAATAATTTTTTTATTTTTTATTTTTTTTCATTATGTTTCTGAAACTTGTCAAAACGTTTCTGAAATACATTGAAACATGTCTGTTTTTCTAGATGACCGAAACAATATACCGAAATAAAATTTTGATCCTTGGTGGCATCATCAACCTTCCACATCTGTATACACACAAAAGACATACCATGCCAACCATCTGATTGTAGAATATGCTGAGGTTTATTAAAAGAAGAAAATCACTTTTGTAAAAGATCAAATTACAAAGGAAAGGGAAAAAGAGAAAATAGGGGATAAGCACAGTACATTTGACTACAAAAAGGGATGAATTGGTTGGTTTTTCTTAATAAAAAAGGAAAAAAAAAAAAGAAGCCTGAAATTGTCACTGAATTTTATTGCTTAAATATTAAGTTTCTATGGAATAAATTATAAGTTTTTCATTGATGTTATATTAATTTGCTGCACTAGGACCTGGGTTTTATTATCTAGTTCCTTTTTTACCTCATCATATTTAGTTATAATCATTCCTGTGTTGGAGTGGAAACATTATGTTTTGGCACATAATTTTTTTTCTTTTTCATTGGACAGTAGCATCAATATATGTAACTTTGTTTATTAATAGTGTTTTGGAAATTTGCATTGCAAATTGCAAGAAGTTTGATCTTGTTGTAGAAGAAAAAGTTTATAATGGTAGATGTGGCATTTGGATGGTCCCCCCTGAAAATTATTTGTCTGTCCCAGGTGGAAAGTGAGCATAAGAAGATGGGCAAAATTGGACCTTTGCATGAGACATGCTTTGGAATTTGTGCCTTGGATTTTAGTTTTCTATTTGTGCATGTTTAGGGCAAAGAAGCCAGTGATAGTATATTTTTTAGTTTCAGAAGTAAAGGGTAATTGGATCTTTTTTATAACTGTTGGAATAGGCTGCAATTTTTGTTCATGGCCCATAGTATGAATGTAATTGTGCTAGTCATGCTTTTTTCGGAGTCCTAGATGTGTCTGGATATTGTATAGACTAATTGCGATTTTAAAGTTCTAGTAGCATTTAGAGATTAGAGCCCATTTCTATAAAAATGAGATTTCATTGCCCACAAATGCCTATGTATTGTTTCTTTGAAAGGTAATGAAGTTGAATGGAAAGTGAGAATTTTTTCAATCCTTTTTAGCTTTTATTCTACACTTCAATACAGATCCTGCCTTAGATGTTTGTTTTTTTACCAAATTCTTGGATGGGTTTCTTGATTATTCTTTATCTTTTCAAGACCTTCGGTTATTTGGTTACTGTTCACAACCTCAGAACAGGTCCTACTTGAACCCCAAATGTTGCCATGTTGATGCCTAATCCACTCTAAACCTGTACCCCATCCTTCAGCCATTCAATTCACAACAAAAATCATGAAATTAGTCGATGTCCAGAGTTTCAAATCACCCTCACCTTGAAGGCTTTGCAACCGTTGCACCAATTTTTCATAGGATTTTGCAAAAACTCAACTTGAAAAAACAGTTAGTTTCAGTCCTTCTTGCCTTCTAATAGTTGTTATGATTGCTAGAGATTCAGTGACACAGTCATCATGAAAATAATAAATAAAATCTCACCATTTTTGTTAACCTTTGTGCGATGCCACATTTCCATCAAATATAATTAAACGACATGCCTTCAGCGGGGTCGATCACAAGTTGTTTTTAATGTCCTTTGAATTCGTACATAGTAGAGCATTGATCTATTTGTCTTTTAATGTGGATTTCATGGAATTTTTTCAGGTCACATCTTGCTCACATGTCTTCTGTAAGTCATGTTTGATTGATTTCTCTGCTAGTGTGGGAGAAGTCACTTGCCCGTCTTGCTCAAAGCCACTTTCTGTCGACTTCACTACGAATAAGGATCATGGCGACCAAAATACCAGGACAACCATTAAAGGGTTTAAGCCCTCAAGTATCCTAAACAGAATCAGGCTTGATGATTTCCAGACAAGTACGAAAATAGATGCTTTGGTATGTGATACCTAAAACTGTTCTTCTTTTCTTTTATTTTACTAAAACCTTATCAAAGAAACTTAGAAGATGCTGATACTGGTATTTTTAGCAATATGATTATAACACTAACATTCATTGCGTGTTTAATAGTGGTTGGAGCATTTGGGGTGTAGGATAAGATAGCAAGATGATGTCATTACATTAGTGATTGAGTACCGTGGTGACTATACTCTTTTTTTTTTTTGGTTTTTTGGACGAATGCTTAATGTCAAAAGCCAAATTTTCCCTATAAATGTTTGAAATTAGTTTTACTGTTATGGGTTGCACATGGAATTTCAGTCAAATGAAAGTGCTTCTTCAACTGAAGTGGAAACGGCAAAGCTGTTTAATGTTCAACTGGTATTACTATGCACAGTTAGTTTGCATATGCTGTCCTACTAAACTGCAGTGCTTTGAACTCAAGCTGCCCACTGGGACACTACATATGTTTTAATTATAAAATATCTGTGAGGTTCTGTATCATGTGTAAATTGTGCGTCAATGGCAATTCTTTGGTGTACTTGGTTGGACAGGAATGTAAGAAGTCACTTAACAATCTGTCTGTTGTTGAATTATTCTTTTTGTTTCTTTATGGACCTAATGTACCCTGGGACTTTCAAAGGGACTCCTTTTTCCATATTTTCGACAGGATTGGAAGAGAGTTCTCTTTTAATGTTTTCTTTTCATTTTCTTTGGAGTATATTTCTTTTCGGGAATATGTTGTCCTCCATATTGTACCTGTTTTCTCTCCTCTTTCTTAGTCCAATTCTTTTTTGTGTGAATAAATTGTTGAGAGTTATGATTCATGCCTTGGTAGAGTAGATTTTCCTTTCATGAACTTGGGAATTTGTATTATTACCTTACCTCAGCAAGTAATCCAAATACATTATCATATGAACAACTTCTCGCCACATCATTTTTTTGGAGAATAAGAACAAGAAAAAAGGCTTTAAATGTTTTCAGAAACTAATTTGGCTCATTATATTCTCTAAATGATTGACACCCGGTTCTTGTTATTTTTGATTCCAAAGTTGTTTATGTTTTTGATTACTGGAAAGTTAATTGGTTCCAGAGGGAAGAAATTAGATTCATGGTTGAAAGGGATGGTTCGGCAAAAGGGATCGTTTTTAGCCAATTTACATCGTTCTTGGATCTGATACACTATTCCCTCCAAAAGGTAGACTGTATGTTCATGCACGATCTGGTTTTTGCTTTTCAACTGTTCATTACAAACAGGAATCGTAACTATATTATGAACCTTTTGCAGTCTGGTGTTAATTGTGTTCAGTTGGTGGGATCCATGTCATTGTGTGCAAGAGATGCTGCAATTTCAAAATTCACTGATGAACCGGATTGCAGAATCTTTCTAATGAGCTTGAAAGCTGGAGGCGTTGCCCTCAATCTCACTGTTGCATCGCATGTAAGGGATCCCATTCCTTATGGTTATGTTCTTGTATGTTGATGATATCACTTGCAAGGATGGAAATGGAATATCGAACTCCTACAAATTGATCATATGCTTATAATTTATGAACAAACCATATATTTGTCTCTAAACTGGGTGGTTTTTGTTTTTGTTTTTTTATCTATATATTGTTTTGTTTGTTTTTTTGTCTTGTTTTGCTTCTTTTAGAGCTTCTCGATTTTATGATAGTAAAAAATAAGGTCTGTTCTGCAAATATTTCAGTTTCATACTCTCCCCCTCCCCCCCCCAAAAAAAAAAAAACAAAACCCACCCCATGTGAACTTAGAGAGAAGAGGATTCGACCTCAACCAGTCCTCATTTGCCTCTGTTTTGAACTATTACTGGTTTTTGTCGTTTGTTATGGATATGATTCTTCTTGCTTAAACCAATGTTTTCCTCTCTTTTGTGTTTGTAGCTCTTGCCACTCTGTTATATATGTGCCTTTTTCTTTTAAATCCTGTCAGGTTTTCTTGATGGATCCTTGGTGGAATCCAGCCGTGGAGCAACAAGCCCAAGATAGAATCCACCGCATAGGTCAATATAAACCAATCAGGTATACTCATCTTCCGGCCCAACTTCCAACAAAGCATTACAACATGTGACTCTCTTGTTGAGACATTAATATTTTTCCTTGTGCATTTGTAGGATCGTAAGATTTGTTATTGAGAACACAGTCGAGGAAAGAATTTTGAAGTTGCAAGAGAAGAAGCAACTGGTGTTTGAAGGGTAAACCCTAAACTGTTCAGGAGCTTGAAAATGTTACCAGTTGTTTAGTCCACATCCTTGAGTAATCTGTCTTATTATTTTTATTGCGGTCTATTGCAGGACCGTGGGTGGCTCATCAGAGGCGCTCGGAAAATTAACAGAGGCAGACATGAGATTCCTATTTGGCTCCTAAGAAGGATTGTTCATTGGAGGGATCTCGGTAACTTATGTGCTTACCCCCCAAGAAGTAGTGCCTGCCTTGGTATGTTGTTTTGTACCTGCTCCTTGTCGAACATTTGTTTTTTGTGAACTATACTTGTTGTAAGGTCAAACAAAGGAAAAATGTCACCGGCCTCTGGGAAATTATCAGATGTTGGAGCATTTTTAACCTTGATTCAAATTTTTATTTTAATTTGAGTTAACATTTAAGTAAAAAGTGATAAAAACATTCATAAAAATTGTAATAATGGTACGGTTCCATAGACACTGCCACCACTAGTCATGGTGTATGTATCTCCAGCCATATCAATGGATAGAGAGAAGAGGACCATTGTGGATAATCGGAACCACGAGGCCTTTTATGATGCCAAAATAGATTTGTAGTTGGTAATTTTACTTGTGGTGACACGAGGTACCATTAATTAATAGGAATATAATATTATACTATATAAGATAAGTGAATTTTATTATTTTCTAGTGTTAGTTAATTAGCAAAGGTGGTTAATCAAAGTTCTTAAAATAGTGGGAGCTAATTAGATTACATGGTGTATTCTTGTTGGTCGGTGATACCATGTGTTATTTATAAGGAGCTATCATTGTTATAATGAAAATTTTCTTGGACAATGTTACACAATTTAAATAAAATTAAAAAATTGTAATTTAAATGCAAATTATTTTTTGAATGAGTGTTAGAAGAATTGGTTTTACTAAAAAAGTTGATGAGAATTTTCAAGGGCGGAGCTAGAAAAAATTCTAGAGTGGACACATTAGCATGTTTTAATTTTTTTTTAATAGACTGTAAAAATTTATAAATTTATATTTATTGAAATTATATTTAATATTTTTTAAACATAGAAAATTAAAAATTGATATACATAACATGAATAAAAAGATAATAATTAAAATTTTTTTATTGAGAATGCAATTAATTATTATAACTTATAATTGACCCTAATATATTTTTATTATTTGAAAGAATTACAAATTAATTTTATTAATAATATTTTTTTTATATATAAAATTGTGGTAACAATCTTTGATTTATAATCTTATAATTTATTACATAACGACATATATTTTTACAATGAAATAACCCTATAATTTTAAAAAAATTATAAAATAACATCAATATTTTAAAACATATTCGGACATGTTTGAAATATATTTAAAAATTAACAATAATATTAGTTATACATAATTTGAGAATTAATTGATGAAGATTGGAGATTTAATGGTTTGTGACCTTTGGATAGATACTAGAGTTTATTAAATATTAAAATTCACTATTATACTTAATATCACAATGTACTAAGTCTTTAAATTTAGTTTTAATAATATTGTTTAAAAAATTAACAATCATTCAGTTAGGAGTCTATTCAAATCGATATAATCAGAACACAATATTAGGGTGGACACAATTAAATATGTCTAAATTTTATTTCAAAAAATACATACCTAATATCAAGCAAAAAAAATTTGAGGGGGGACATGTGCCCACCCTAGCCCAAGAGTGGCTCCGCGCCGTGAGAATTATTCATTCAAGGGATGATATATATTTATATTATAATTTTTTGGGTTCCATTTGAGTTATGTAATATTACTTAGTTTTTCTTGTAGGCATATGCGGGTCACGCAAGAGGTTATGGGATTTTTTTGTACATGGTTATAAAAAGACCAATAAGAAAATTTTTAGCAACTTAGAGTTAGCTTGAATTTTGCATGAATAAATTTGTCAATTTTCACGGTAGAAATTAAAGGAGGAAGTAATTTAAGAAATGTTCAAAATAAAAGGGGAATAATTAACGGTGCCCTTAAACTATTACAAATGTGTCAAATAAGTCCTTAAAAATTTTATTGTGTTAATTTACCCCTTCATTTGATAAGAGATAACGTCAGTATCACACGCCTTCATTTCACATAATTGGGTATGAAAAATCGCACAAAACACCCTAACCCCAAATTAGATGTAGAGGCAAGAACAAAAACCCTAACTCTAATCTTGATCCCAAATTGTTTGTAGTCGTCGATGTGAAAATTGAAATGGAATGGATTTTGAGGCATTTGAGTGATAACTTTCACCCCCAATCAGATGTATTGCAAGTCTCTTGTGGAAGACGAATCCGTTTTTGTAGCTCCTGAATCAAGCTTCAGATTAGTAACAAAGCTTTGTATGTGTGTGTTTGTGTGAAATTAGATTGTGCTGTTTAGAAGACCAGGAATACATGTATGATCTGGAAGTCACCGCCATTGCTTTGCTTAACAGAAAAAAAAAATAAGCTTTTACCTTGGCGGAAATATCCCTATGAGAAGGCGTGTGATGCTCATGTGGAATTTAACGAAAGGGTTGAATTGAACTAATTCTGAAAAATGAAGGTGTAAATTGACACAATAAATTGTTTAAAGGTTTATTTCATCCACACTCCCTCTAGATAGAGATATCTTTAATGAGACCTCCTCTATTTTATAATTTTTTTTACGTATTAAAATTTAGTCTGTCTAAAATTCGATTTGAGCAATATAAAATTCGTTTTTAATCAACTCGAACCAAATTTTAATTAATTCACATTGAATTTTAATCTGCCCAAATTTGTATACGTAAAAAAAATATAAATTTTAATCAACTCAAATTTTAATAAGTAGAAAATAAATTTTAATTAACTTGAATCGAATTTTAACTAATACAAATTTTAATGAGTAAAAAAATATAAATTTTAATCGACGCTAACAGCTCAGGTTGAGCTTAAATTGACTCGAATTTTAATATGTAAAAAAAATAAAATTTAATCAGCTAGAAGCGAATTTTAATATGTTTAAAAAATTTAATCAACTTTAATTTTAATATGTTAAAAAAAAAATTAATCGGCTTGAATTTTAATCAACTCGAATTTTAATTGGATTTTATGTAAAAAAAAATTATTTGGGATTTATGTAGGGGTAATTTTAGTATTTTAGATAATTTTTTTTTATTAGAAATGATTGTTTAATGACATAAATATTAGTGATGTTTAAATATAAATTAGAAAAAGTATCACTGATATTTTTGATAATAAATGAGATATCCTTACAGATATAGCAAATTAGAGGTTGTGTGACTAAAATTTTCCCAAATGCCAATAGATAAGACAATCCCGAGTAGTTATTTGCATATAGGGAAAGAGGGAGTAATTATTTACTTAACGAAAGACTTATTATTAATTTTTGCAAGGTTTATTTATTTTAATACTAGTTATTGTATGTGCTTGAAGGTACAAAATAATAAAAAATGGTACATAATAAATATTTTTGTATTCATATCCAAAATTAAATCGCAAACATAAAAAATAGATAAAAAAATTTAAACATCGTTTTTTGTAGTGGAGGTGAGAGATAGTTGACGGTAATGATAGTGGTAGGAGACAGTAATAGTTGTGGTGGTGGTGGTAATGATGGCGGCGGCGATAATAATGGTGGTGGCGACGACGATAATGACAGCGATGGTGGTGGTTGTGGTGGGGGTGACGGTGGCAGTGGTGTGGCGGTGGTAGAAATAGTGGCTGAACAGTTCAAAATAATATTTTTTTAAAAAATATTTATGAGAAATAATTTTTAAAAATATTTTTAAAAAATTACTCTGACATATTTTTTTTTTATTAAATTTAAAGTTTTAATATTAGTATATACATTAACTTTATAGTAAAATTTAAAATGATCTCAACTACGAATAATTAAAGTTATTTTATTTATGTTTTGAAATTTGAATTGTGAGGTACCTTATTATATTAGAAAAAGATTATTAGTCACTAATACCATATTTTTGTGCGATTCACGTCACACACTGTTATACTAACTTCTTTGTGGGGCCCACTCGAGTTACGATATAAATCACCGCCACCACCGTTACATTTAAGGGTTAATCTCATTTGTATTCTGAAAGATTGTTTGAATCTCAATTTGTACCCTTTAAGATTAAAAATTTTAATTTATACCCTCAAAGATAGAAATTTGTATCAATGTGCACCCCCAAAGATCAAAAATCTCAATTTGCACCCTCAAAGATAGAAATTTGTATCAATGTGCATCCCTAAAGATAAAAAATTTCAATTTGCACCTTCAAAGATAGAAATTTGTATCAATGTGTACCTAAAATTAAATTAATAAATTATACCTTGATCCTTTCATGTTTGTCACTTAATCATTTGAACTCCTTCACATTTAGAATATTCCCCTTACATCTCATGACGTTTATGCATGTGTAACATATAACCACTTTTCGTTAATATATATTAATATAATCGTTAAAAAATATGATTTTATCCTAATATAAAATTATAATTTTATATTACCTTTTATTTTGTGGATTCGATATACTCTAAAGTTGAAAATCAAGCTTACCATTTGAATATCTAATAAAATGTAGATATTTATATAAAAGGTAATATGAAAAATATTATATAAATATTTATATTTTATTAGACATT